ATATTTTCCTTAACATACATTAATACTTTGTGAACAGTGTATTGTCTGGGTGCATTTGCTTAGCCTTAACATAATAGTATATAATATAATAATATATTAAACATAAGTCATACATGATAGTACTTTTCCAATTTCTAATTTCTACTTCTGTTATCCAATCATTGATAAAATAAATCCCATGTTTGAAAGTATTCTGTATCGTCTTTATCTTTTATCTTCAATGTCAACCTATCCATTTCTGCACAATGTAGTATTTTTTAAATTACTTCTTCTATGGGTGGTTCACATATACAATTCTTGTTGCAGTCAAGATATGTAGTATTAAATATATATTCCCTTTATTATATTTTTCTGATACTATGCCTAACAAAAATATTTCTGGTTTATAATCTATGTGTTGCTTTAACATTTTTTTAAACCATGTATGTATTTTCGTCCAGTATTTTTTTGCCTTTCCACATGTCCACCATATATAATAATATGTGCCTGGTATCTGATTACATTTCCAACATTTGGCAGACATATTTTAAAAAGTCTTTGCCAGTCTTGCTGGTGGTAAATGCCACCTATAAAACATTTTATATAAATTTTCCTTATATGCAGTTGCCATTGTCAGTTTATACAGACCAACCATGGATATTGCAATGAATCATGTCTTCAAGTTATCAGTATATTATAATGAGTTATGAGAATAACTTTGAAGAACAAGAAAAAGTACCCCGACTCCTTCCCTGCCTTATTTTAAAGAGAACTAAGGAGATTAAAGTCTGACACCTATTCTCAAATTTCATTCCTGCTTTACGGTTCTTTTTCTTGTTCCTCAAAGTTATTCTCATAACTCATTATAATATACTGATAAACTGAAGACATGATTCATTGTAGTCATCTATGGTTGGTCTGCATTAATTAATCCTGCATAACACTGAACAATTGAAGCCGAATGTTTGTGTTACTAAGGCTGAACAATACATCTTTTGATTATGTCTTTATGTCTTTATTTTTTCCATCTAAAAGTCGACACCACAGCATTCTGATAGCCCCCTCTCCTTTCCTTCTTCCTTTTCAAGTTAGTCTTGATTTCTGGTAACCACCTAGATTAGTCCCTGAAGTTTTCTTAGGAACACTTTCAAGAAATGGCTTGCATTTCCTCCTGCCGAAGACCAACGGTGTACTCCAATTCACAGGGAACTCTGTCTCCTGGTTTCTGGCCTCTTGCCTTTAACCACAATACGCAACTGATTCCATTGTAAGATTAGTAGCTCCACAAGTCTATAATTGGCTCCTCAAAGAAGTTGCCTGACACTATTTACAATAAACAGTGTAATAGTGTAAACTCCCCGAAGGTAAACCAGGTCCATTTTATGGCCAAGAAAACTACATTTTATGGTCATTTTATGGCCAAGAAAACTACAGCCATGTCATAGGCAACAGGCTTCATTTTTCCTGTCCATGTTTGTACAGCATACAACATATATTCAAAATAGACAAAATATATATGTGTATATGTGTGTGTGTGTGTGTGTATATAGCATATATATGTGTGTATGTGTGTTGTGTTGTGTGTGTGTGTGTGTGTGCGCACGTGTACATTTGAGTATGAGTATGTTATGGGGATATATCAGGGGTGGGCTGCTACGGGTTCACCCGGGTTCGGGATAATCCGTAGCTAACATTATGGCTGGTTCACAGAACCTCCAAATCCCACCCCTGGCTGGCCCCTCCCACCCCAGCCCTCCCAGGAGTCTCCACGCGGCCTGTTTTGGACGCAAAGTAAGTGCAGGGCCCGCACAGAGGCTCAGTGTGGGGGGAAAATGGGCCTCCCGGAAGCTCCGGAGGGCCTCCAGAGTCCAGGGGAGGCAGTTTTCACCCTCGAGGCTCGAGGAAAGCATCCGAAGCCTGGGGAAGGCAAAAACGGCCCTCCCGCCATGGTGCAGGAGGCCGACTATGCCACGTCCACCATGGCCACACCCATCCAGCAACCGGGCAGAGAACCTGTTGCTGAAATTTTTGAAGCTCACCCCTGGGATATATATATATTCTTTTGAAAGCGGGCATCAGAATTACATTTTTTAATGTGTGATAGTATTCATAGAAAAAAGTGACAATAAAGATTATCTTATTGAAATTATATTGACGTGGGTATATGTGTGTGTGTGTGTTTTTGTGAATCTTATATATACAATATGTATGTATGTAATATATATATAATGTTCCTAGCTATTTTTTGCCTTGCATAACCTGGATCATCTTTCATAAGCAGGGGACTTCAAAAGAAAAGCTTAGATTTCCTTCAATATATAAACCTATTTCTTTTCTAATAATAAAGATGGTCTCTTGAGAGAACACAGAATTCTGATGGGACATGAATCATCAAGATGCATCAGGAAATGGGTCACAATGTACTTAATTTATAAAACTTGACAAGCCAGTAATTAATTATGTTAAAAAAGATATTCAACTGAAAAATAGCAAAAAGGCATAGCTCAGTGGCAAACATGTAGCTCTTAGTTTAATTCTCAAAGTAGTTAATCAGTGGGGCCCAGTCAGGAGTTAAGATGGCAGGCTCAAGGATGTGTCCATATAAAATAAAATACATGCAATCAAAGATGTTAATCTGACTTTTTCGATGTGTATTCAAACACACACACCCCATAATCAGTTCAATTCTTCAACATCCTATTAGAAAAAAGAAAACAATTCACTCTAGTGCAGCTTTACCATTCATATCAACTGTGCCTACAATCCAATATAGTCTCCTCCTGAGAAAATGCAACCCTTCAAAGAAAAAATATAAATAAATTTCTGTACACCTGGCCTACCTCAGCTGAAATGAAACTTTGGACACTGTCATCTGGTCAGTGAGAGGATACAGTTGGCTAAATAGGTCTTTGCATTTACTGCAGGTTGGGTTTTTTTTTTTTTTTTTTGGCACACAATGCAAAACCACAGATTTATTTAAAATGGTCCTGCTTAAGCAGGGCATTGGCCTAGAATAGAGGCCCCCAACATTTTGGGCACCAGGGAACAGTTCCGTGGAGAGAGGATTTTTTGCAGACCGGAGGCGTGGTTTCTCATGCTGCTTGCATCCCATGGATGGGGCTTCGCTTGTTTGCACGGCCCAGTTTCTGGCATGTCGTGGCCCAGTAACGGTCCACGGACCGGGGGTTGGGGACCCCTGAATTAGAAGACCTCCATGATCCCTTCCAGTTCTATGCTGATTGATTGAATTCTTATGCCCCTGTCCTCGATAGAAATGATTGTACCAGAATTTGGTTGATGTGTAAAAAAGCTAGAAAATTCTGGATTCAGAAATATACAGGTAGTCCTTGACTTACAGCCACTTGTTTAGCGACCGTTCAAAGTTAGACCACCACTGAAAAAAAGCAACTTACAAGTGGTCCTCACACTTAATGGACCATCACAACATCCCTGCAATCCCGTGGCCAGCATTTGGCTGCTTGGCAACTAGCATGTATTTATACTGGTTGCAGCATCCTGGAATGATGTGATTGCCATATGTGTCCTTCCCAGCTGGGTTCCCAGCATCCGAGATGTAATTGTGACCTTCCCAGCAAAGTCAACAGGGGATGTCAGATTTGCTTAACAATCACACGATTTACCTAACTGCAGTGTTTCACTTAACAACCATGGCAAAAATCATAAAATCAGGCACATCTCACATAATAAGTGCTTTGCATAGTAACAGAAATTCTGGTCCCAAATCTAGTCGTAAGTTGAGAACTACCTGTACACTGATTCAGTGTATAGGTAAATATAAATATAAAGTTAAGACCTGGTGTTTTACTTGTGGGCCTGGTTTACAACCAGTTGGAAACAAGTTATGGATCTTTGTTTTGATAACTGCAGTGAGATTGTGGAAAGATTTGGCAATATGTACAATAGAGGAATTGTTAGTGAAGACGATGGAACTTGCTGAGACGGCCAAATTGACCTACATTTATTGCTGACTTGAAGCCTGTTTTTTGCCCCTTGTGAGGCAAAAAAGGAACTTATGATTCCTAACTTTTGATGATTAGACAGGAAAGCATATAGAACAGTCATGTCGTAAGCATAGATAAATTTGTAACTGAAAAGTTGTAAAGCACATTAGAAGCCACTTCTTTGTAACTTCTTTTTAAACTTTTCTTGAACTTTGTTTTCTTTGATTTCTACCTTTTTACTTTGTTTGCATTAATTTTTAAACTTCCTTTTAAAAAAATCTTTAATATGGAAGAATTGCAATTTATTAGTGCGAAGAAGTGATTGAGGTCTAATTGCAAAGAGTAACTTCAGGAGAGGAATTTTCCACTAGGAAATTCCTACCACTGGGGAGGAAGGAAAACAAACAAGTTGTTCCTTCTTTGTAACTTCCTTCTACATACTAAAAATGGACAGCATATGATTCTTTATTCTTGGCTTGGTGTCTTGATGTTCCTCCTAAAGTATAGTCAATCCTAATCTGTTTCTTTTCCTCTGATGGCTTCTTAAAATCTGGTGCCCACAACTGGCTACAGAAATTGTGCACAGGTAGTCCTCAACTTACAACCATTTCTTTAGTGACTGTTTGAAGTGAACGACATTGAAAAGGGTGACTTCTGACCATTTTTCCCATGACGGTTGAAGTATCCCTATGGTCATGTGACCAGAATTTGGATACTTGGCAACTGGCATGTATTTTATGATTGCAGTATTGCAGGGTCATGTGACCAGCTTTTGTGAACTTCTGATAAGCAAAGTTCAAGGGGGAAGCCAGTTTCATTTAACGACCATGTTACTAACTTAATAACTGCAGTGATTCACTTAATAACTGTGGCCAGAAAGGTTATAAAATGGGACAAAACACACTTAACAACTGTGTTGCTTAGCAATGGTAATTTGGAGATCAATTGTCCTAAGTCGAGGACTATCTGTATGGAGTTGATCTTGAATCTGGAGGTTTCTGAATACCTCCAATGCCCAAAGATATTGCAGTACATTAACAATAATCTTCTAGACATCTCTTTGGCTATAAGAAATCGAATGTTAGTGTTTATTTTAATTAAATCAAATATTCTGAGAAAGTTGAATTCCATACTACATGTTGTACTTTTCCTTTCTTTCAGAGTACACAGTTCCAACAACTCATTAAACAAAGCATAATGAGAATAAGATGCTGAAAGAAGGTATGGATTAAAAAGTATATAAAGTTGTTAAGACAGCAATAATGAACCAAGTCCAGAATGCAACCTTAGTTTGGCTTAAGGTTATAAATAGAGTTAACTTCAGTGTAGAAACTTGAATACATAGTTCAGGGGTGTCAAATTCAATTTCCTTCAGGGCTGCACCAGGGTTGTGTTTGACCTTGTGGGGCCGGAGGGGGCGTGGCCAGCTTGACGTCACTCATGTTAGGGGTGCCTGTGGTGGCCCGAGTGCTCTGCCAGAGAAAATGGGCTCCCAATCTGTTTTCGGCTGGGACGGCCTCCTGCAATCCTCTGCCAGCTAAAACACAGCTTGGGAGGGGCCCAAGCTCAGTTTTCGCTGGCAGAGGGTTGCAGGAGGCCGTCCCAGCCGAAAACAGAGATTGGGAGCCTGTTTTTGCTGGCAGAGGCACTGTGGGCTGGTCCTTCGCTATTTCCAGGGTGGCCCCGCAGGCCAGATGTAAGCACCTCACAGGCCGGATGTGGGCCATGGGCCTTGAGTTTGACACCCCTGATTTAGTCTACCATAGGTTTCTTATAAGTTAGCAGTTTAACAATACAAGCTTATATGGAGTCAATTCAATATGGAGTTTAAAAGCTTATTAAAACGCATTCAAAAGTCCATCTTTCAAATGTTTCCAGATTAATACTATTTGAAGTGATTATCAGCCCAGCTACTGCAGGTCCACCGTACTCTCCTTGCCTGCCTCCGAAAACAGTGAGCCAGGCTTCCAGACTGCAATTGCACCGCCCGAATATTCTGTGCCATGATTTCATAATAGTTTAGGATTGCCTGTTCTCTGCAAACAAGAAGAAACAACCGTTACCACCAAGGAATGTTGGTCAAGAGACCATCAAAGGACATACATTGCCTGTCCTTCCTCAGAAAAACCCCATGGTGGATAAGTCAATGGCCCCACGAAGTTGACAATCTAAATTTTGATAGCCTGGAGGAAGCATTTGTGAAAAGGCATTAGAAAAACAAATTGATAAGGATAATGCTCTAGAACAGGAGTGTCAAACTCAAGGCCCATGGGGTGCTTAGATCTGGCCTGCGGGGCTGCCCTGGAAACAGCCCATGGTGCCTCTGCCAGTAAAAACAGAACCCGGGAGGGCCACGGGCAGAGGGTTGCAGGAAGCCATTGCAGCTGAAAACAGAGGTCAGGAGCCCATTTTCACTGGCAGAGTGCTCAGGCCACCACAGGCGCCACCGACACAAGTGATGTCAAACTGGCCATGCCCACCCTGGCCCCCCAAGGTCAAACACAACCTTGATGTGGCCCTCAATGAAATAGAGTTTGACACCCCTGCTCTAGAACAGCATTTTTTGAACAGGACAACTTTAAAATATGTGGACATCATTCCCAGAATTCCCCAGCCAACATGTTGCTTGCCAAGTTTGGAAAAACACTGGTGTAGAATTATTATGATCCGAATTCTAATGTTTCTAGAGATTTGAGTTTGGATCTCATCCATAAATTGCTTCTATTGAACAATGAAATACAGACCTGTCTCATCCTTTCTAGAAAAATACCTGGATAAGAGACTAAAACCTCAGACATTTTATGTGAGTCGATCCCATTCTGCCTCTGCTCTTCAGCCAGTGGTTTTGCTGCTATGCAATCATAGCTTGCGTTCAGCTTGAGAGGATTAATAACAATGAACAAATGTTGAGGCCATTGTGTGAAAAATGTTCACACAACTTTCTGTGTTTGGACAAATATTTAAGTGCACTTAAGTTATTAACTCAGTAATTCCTTACAATTGCATAAAGATTTTAACAGTGCAAATTATCAGAAATGGCATGAACTAAGATTTATTTACTGATCTGGTTATATATTTCTGATCGCAGTTTTTAGCATCAAATACCAAACTCTATCCTATTGTTTGCAAGTTCAACCATATTATTTACTTTAACTTAACTCCACTCAGAGTAGACATAACATTTTTAAAAAACAACATATAGAAAAGAGTGCTATACCGAGAGGTAGCATAGAACTACCATTGATATCATGCTCTTCGTTTTGAGTTAGTCAAGACACTGTGGAGTTAGTAGATAAAATCAGGGGTGTCAGAAAAAAAATAACTGATTGCTGAGATCCAGTTTTCAAGCTGCACTCTAACAGTCAACCTAACTAAAGGTTCTCCAATACTCAGTTCACCCATAATGTTAATCCAGCATCTGATATATCTTTAGCTGTATATTGTGCAGAACCAGCAGTGGCAGCTTAGTTAACAAACCTGGTGTTGTTAACATCATCAGGGCATCCATAAAATCTCTAAAAGGTGTCTAAAAACTCCAAAACTAAGTATTTGCAAAGTATACATATTTTAAACATGCATTGAAATTTCATAAGACACTAGGCAAGAATTCTGAATTTTCTCCACAATTTAATAATATTCTTGCAAATAACACCACGGAGGTACAGTTCCTATAGGAAGATCAAACCAAATATGGTTTAATATGATGAAAAATCAACCTACAAGGGTATTCTCCAACCTGGTGCTCCCAGGAGGCAATTTCCAGCTATGTTGATTAGAGAATTATGTAAGTCAAGTCCAGATACGATATCTAGCTGGCACCAGGTTGAGGCTGACTGCCCTGTAGACATCATTAATGGCAGGGAAGCTTGTCCAAATTTCAAGAAAGCCCAAAGTTCATAAGGGAAATTTAAGAAGAGCCGAGGTGGTGCAGTGGTTAGGGTATAGTTCTGCAGCTACTTCAGCTGACTGCTAGTTCAGCAGATCAGCGGATCAAATCTCACCGGCTCAAGGTTGACTCAGCCTTGCATCCTTCTGAGGTGGGTAAAATGAGGACCCAGATTGTTGGGGGCAATATGCTATTTAGTATACTGTCTATTGGTGTAAGCCCAGAGTCCTCGGAGAGTGGGAGGCATAGAAATATGACTAATAATAAGACGATCAAGGAATGGGAGATGGAAATATTTTTTTATTGCCTTCTCTTTGCCCAAGATCCTAGAAAATGCCGACAGTTAGAAGTAGGAACATATGGGAAAAATGGACAACGTTTTGCAATTTGGTGGGCAATGCAATGGTGGGCAAAAGAAGTTAACCAGCATCCCTAAATGAGTAAAGACCCTTTATGAGTAAATGTGTAAAGTTTTTCAGCATAATCCAAAGGAATTTGGTCAATGCACACATTTTGTTTCTCCTGTAGTGCTGCTATCACAGAAAACAAGAGAAAAGACGACTTTTGCATGCATATTAATTAACCTGTTAAAGAGATGGGTTGTTCCATGCAGGCAATCTCTGTGCATGTTAATGAACTCCAAGCAGATCAGACAAAAAAAAAAAACAAGACAAGTTTTACCTTGATGGTTTTTATCTTCAGTTACAAATCAGAGCAACTGTCATATCACTAGTAGATGGGAAGAACATTAGGAATAAAGGGTTTATAAACTGAAATGATAATGACATTCAGACTACTTCAGAGGGACCACCGAGCTGACAGTTACGTCCCTGTTAACATATAGCTGTCCTTGAAAACACAAGACTGGGAAAACACTGTCTCATAATTATTTCCGTTAAATACATTTCAAACAAGATTCACTCCTCCAACCACATTCCTCTTAGTAGTCCTCGACTTACAACTGATTTATAACCATTCATTCATTTAGCGAACATTCAAAGTTACAAATGTCCTGAAAACAGTGACTTATATCCAGTCCTCCCACTTATGACCATTGCTGCATCTCTATGGTCATGTGATCAAAATTCTGGCGCTTCGCAGCCAATATATGGATTTATGACAGTTTCAACATCCTTCAGTCATGTGATCGCCATTTGCGACTTTCCCAGCCGGGTTCAGACAAGCAAAGTAAAATGGAGGAAGCCAGATTTGCTTAATGACTGTATGATTCCCTTAACTGCAGCGATTCCCTTAACAACTATGGCAAACAAGGTCATAAAATCGGATGCAACTCACTTAATTGTACTTAGCAATGGAAATTCTGGTCTCAATTGTGGTCATAAGTTGAGGACTACCTATACACTTCTTATACTACAGACTCAGCAACTGGTATCAAAATAGTTCATGAAAGAGGCAGATTTGGTCTGGAAATTTCCAGTTGCTGATGAGTGCTTTTGTAGGATCAAAGGAGAACACAGTTTGGATTGATCTGCAGACTGGATGAGATTCTGAATTATATAAATTCTACTTGAATAAAAAGAAATACAGGTAGTCCTTAGCTTACAACCACACTTGAGCCCAAAATTTCTGTTGCTAAATGAGACATTTTAATTTTGCCCCATTTCACGACCTTTCTTGCCGCAGTTGCTAAGTGAATCACTGTAGTTGTTAAATTAATAACACGGTTGTTAAGTGAATCTGGCTTCCCCATTGACTTTGCTGGTCAGAAGATCTCAAAGGCTGCTCACATGATCCCAACTGTGATAAGCGTGAACCACATGCCAAACACCTGAGTTTTGATCATGTGACCATGGGGATGCTGCAATGGTCCTAAGTGTGAAAAACAGTCATAAGTCACTTTTTTCAGTGCCGTTGTAACTTTGAACAGTTACTAAATGAACTGTTGTAAGTTGAGGACTACCTGTAGAGTTGGCTTTGATCCTTTGGGAATAAGTAGCAGTTTGGAAACACGATCACTTTTTACAAGAGGAAGCTTGAGCGATGGCAATAAAGAAAGTTTGCTTTCACTAGATTGCCTGCAGAAATGGATTGTGTCCTGCATGCCAGGTTTTAGCAGGAGGCCAAAATGAACATGGTATGAATGAAGTACAATGGTGGATATGGATATGTGTGTGTGTGTGTGTGTGTGTACATACACTGCAAAAGTTATTTGGAGTGCAGCTGCTCTTCTGGAGAAGCAACTTTAAAAAACAGACCTCAAAAACTCCAGTTCGGCCATGAAGCTTGTAAATATTCCAAATAGGTCATTAAAATAATGCATACGTCCAATAAATACTTCTGGTGTGTTGTTCAAGCAAAACTGTTATAGCCAAAAGAAGTTAGGTATTCTAAACAGAAAAGTGGAGTGTTTCGCAAAATACATCGTAAGTAGGACTGTCATACTTAGTCTAAAAAAATCTGGAAAAGCAGTGAATGCCAGCTAAGAATTAGTATCTTCTGTGCTCTAATCTATGAGTCACCCAGATTTTTTCAGCTCAGATGCAACAACTTTAATTATGGCTCTTTGTTTGCAACCAATATTCAGAAGCAGAATAAGAAAGTGTTACTTGGGGATATTTAGCAAAGGCATTTGAATCCAGGGCATCTACATATTATAAAAACTTTGATTCCTCTAACTTTTAACTGGGTAAAATGGTGCACCCTAGGACAAAACCTTTTGAACCAAGGTACCTCAAATAAGCTAATTTATAGAATGCATCCAAAATCTGGGACCTGAATTGAAATTTGGCACACAAAACAATCATAAATGTGAAAAATGACATAAGTCACTTTTTTCAGTGCCGTTGTAACTTTGAATGGTCACTAAACAAACAGCTGTAAGTCGAGGACTACCTATATGTTAGGGTTTATACTAGTTTTCAACTCTTTCCCATTTCAAAGTGAGAAGAAACTAGAATGTGACTTTTCAGCAAGTTTGATCACATTGATTTCTGAGGCTGCATTACAAGAGATCCCCTGCAAAGTCAGAACAAGGATGTTGGCAACCTGTCCAAAGCTCTCATTTGTTCCTTAGAGTCCAATATGTGTGTTTCGGAATGGACAACAAAGTTTCCTGCTGTTTTGAGGTGGCACAACAAAGACATTCTTAACCATGCACAAAGTTATCTGAAGCCCCAACAACTGCCTGATTGCCGGCACCGTTAAGGACAGCGGGATGAGAATGGGAGGGCCATTTCTAGAACTCACCTCTCTTCTTGAACAATGATGTCATTGAAAGCATGAGAGAGACGCTTAAGTTGGCGAATGCCCGTTGAGACCAGCTCCAAATCACAGTCCAGCTGCCTGCCAGGACAAAAGAGACCAGCAAAAGTGAAGAGTGAATTGGGCCACCAATGAAGAGCACTTTTCTCTGTCTCCAGTTCACCCCTACTCTTTTCAGAACAGGACAATAGTGCCAAACATATTCTCACGATTCATTTGCAGACTACATTACCACAAAATACAGGCATAGCCATTGGATTTCTGGGGGGGATTCAGCTATATTTTTTTTAAAGTTAAAGCTGTTGTTTATTTACATTTTAAAACTGGATTTCAAACCGGAATAGATTCTTTTGCATGTACTTGTCAGTTGTCTTGAGTGCCGGAGGGTGGGAAAAGGGACTATGAACAAAGGAGAAGATGCATTTCCACAGGCAAGATGAATCTTTGTGGTTAAATGGAACAAAAATAGTGTATTTTGGAATATCTACATTGAGAAGCCAGAGTAGCAAAAATGTGTTTACTCTGGACCTGGGATTTGCTAGTAGCAAATTGGGAATACATCCCTTTCTTTTCTCTTTCATCACTGGATAACTAGCAAAAGTCATACAAGGTGACGGCATCTAACTTTTGTCTGAGCTCAGAAAAGTTTCATCAGGGATAGACTTAGTTAATGATAATATCAAGTTAGACTGCCCTGGGGAGCAGGGGTGGCATTCACTTACCTTCACTACCGGTTTGCAAATGTGAGCGCATGCTTGGCCACTTACTTTGCTCACACACACCACCTCTGCGCATGCGCAGGAATTTCTGCGCATGTGCAGAGCATCAAAAACAGGACGTGATTACGTCCGGGTGGATGCGTGGAGCCTCCCGCTGCCGCCGCTACCTATTTACCTGAACCGGATAGAACCGGCTGAATATCATCACTACTGGGAAGTCAAAAAACATCTCAGGAGGAGAAAGTGGCAAGTCACTCATATTAGCAAGTTGTCCTACTTACCTTCTCACAGCAAGAGAAACTGGAGAACCATATGGGCTTCTCAAGGCTGCAGCCCTCATGGATCTCCGGAGAGGCAGGAGGCTTTTCTTACGCCGACAGGACCCAGATTTCTTGCTGGATGGGGATACAATCTTCGTGCTGGATGTTGGGGTTGAGATGGAAGCCAGCTTTTTGTTTTGGCGAGGGGTCCGAGGAGAGATGTTTGAAGGTTTTGTGGAACTTCTGCTCTTTCCTCTGGGGTCCTTGGCCAACGAAGCTGCTATAGCACGAGAGGGACCTTGGCAGCTCCTTTGCACTTTCTGAAACACAAAGGCAGTTTTTATTGACATTGAGATATAATGGGGATATTCTCCAGATTGCAACCTAGCAGTTTGATAAAATCTGAAAAAGTTTCAAAAATATGCAAAACGTATCCACAGGTCATAAAAACCATTTCCCTTTCTATTATCATTATATATATTATATGTATTATCTATTATCATTATTTTATCAAAATCACTTAGGTCAGATGGGCAGTGTATAAGTTTTATAAATAAATACAATAAAATTTTAATCATTCTATGGACACTCACTGGGGAATAAGTCTGAGGTTTACTCCCCAGGACAGAGCTTCGGTTGCATGATTATGGCCGCCATCTTGACTTTTTTGACTTGCTCCCTGTGGATATCCTTGGCCTGGGGGAATAGATTAGGAAGAGTATCTGCACCAGCTGTGACATTTAATTCAGAAAGGCATAATGCCTTCCCATTCAGAGCTCCCTGCCAGTTGTACTTCTATTTTGATTTTGTTTTTAAAAAAAGTTTCCCATCAAAAGATTCCTTGATGAGCAAAAATATGCGAACATTAATAATGTCTGAACATTTCAGAACAAAGTTCAATCAGCTTTTTAGGCCGTAGATATCATAACTGCTTAATTCATTAGTTTCTCATGAATTGAACTATATCCATACCTGTGACATTGTTCCAAATACATTTTTGGCCGTTCTGGTAAGCATCCGGAGGTTTGAGCTTTTCTCCTTAACCTCCAGGCTCTCCCAAGTTGGATTCTCATCAAAATTCATTTTTACTTCTTTTAAAGGCATTCTTTTCCGGAGGGACATCCGCACACTATTCATGTTCACAGAAGACTTTTTCCTGAATCGATCTGGTACGGGACTCTCCTCAAAGTCAGACAAGATCTGATGGCTCCGCCAGCCGATGCTTGATCCCACAGTTTGGAACACAGATGCCATCCTTCCCCAGGGCTGGATTCTTCAAAAGCCTTAAAAGAGGGGAAAAAAGCCTACTCAAGTTTCTAGTCCATAAGTTCACAACATGGGGAGAGAAATACTTCCTGTTGCTAGTGTCATTAGCGTTATTTAATAGATACTGGGCAATCCCCTATAAGAACTGTGATAACATCTTGACTGGATAGCAGGGATATTTAACTTGCCAGAGGCATGCCTGCAAAACGGTTGTCTTAGAGTGGCCAGTCAGTAGTCACTCATTAAGTAGAAAGAAATTGAGATTTCTTTCCACAATCCTCTTTATCTACTATCCTCCAATGTATTCCCCTACATCTCAACAACCATCCAAGATTTATTTTTCCTAAAAATTCTCTAGGGTTTATTAATATATTTTACCTCATCTTTTGTGTGGGCGTACATGCGTGTGATCTCAAGAAAGTAAACATATCTAATATTCCTTCTTCCTCCATTTTCCCCCACAAAAACCCTGTGAGGTGACTTGGGCCAAGAGAGAGGGACTGGCCCAAAGTCACTCAGTAACTTTCATGCCTAAGGGAGGCTTGGAACTCACAGACTCCTAGTTTCTAACCCAGCACCTTCACCAAACTGACTCTTGATGGAGATTTTTATAAATAAAGTTAATGCTAAAGGCTGAGATTGCTTTTGCAAGAGGCTAAGATCCCACTTCTCTCTTTTTTTAGTTAAAGGACATTAAAAAAAAGAAACTCAGCACCTTTGAAATACGTGAAGCGCTATCACTTGCAAAATTTGTCGTCTGTTGATCAGAGGGCGAATCATGAGGCTTAAAGCACTGATTTGGGCAAAACATTTGAGATAAGTATCATTAAGACAAGCAGCAGTTTTTCAATGCGCCAGTTCTAAATTCTTCAGTTTGAAAACATTCTGACTTTATGATCTCAGGTTTATCCAAAGTCCAATATGATAATCATAGTTGATTGTCAAGAGACATGTCATTATCATTTATAATTCTGGTTGCATAAGAGGCATAGAATCAAAATCATGTGAAGTGCCGTATTAATACCGCTTTATAAAGCCTTAGTAAGACCACACCTGGAATACTGCACCCAGTTTTGGTCATCACGTTACAAAAAAGCTATTGAGACTTTGGAAAAAGTGCAAAGAAGAGCAACAAATATGATTAAGGGCCTGGAAACATATGAAGAATGGTTGCAGGAATTGGGTATGGCTAGTATAGAGAAAAGAAGGATTAGGGAGGACATGATAGCAGTATTCCGGTATTTGAGAGGTTGCCACAAAGAGGAAGGAGTCAATTTATTTTCCAAATCACCAGAAAGCAAGACAAGAAACAATGGATGGAAACTAATCAAGGAGAGAAACAACCTGAAATTAAGGAGAAACTTCCTAACAATGAGGACAATTAACTAGTGGAACAGCTTGCCTTCAAAAGTTGTAGGTGCTTCATCACTGAAGGTTTTTAAGAAAAGACTACTGGACAGCCATCTTTCTGAAATGGTGTAAGGTCTCCTGTTTGAGCAGGGGGTTGGACTAGAAGACCTCCAAAGTCCTTTCCAGCTCTATTCTGATTGATTGATCCAACTAGGTAACTTAGTTAGGTTAATGAAACATCCACACACACAAAAAAAACCCTCAGCACAAAAAACTCCAAAGTTCAATGCTGAGCTACAAATATTTTTTCCTATTAACAAAAGTTAATTATCAACTGGGAAATACCTGGTCAAGATTATCCATTCATCACCATCCAGTGCAGAATTTGTGGCAAATATGCTATTTGTCTAAGGTATTTCCTGATTAATTCAAGATTCCAGAAATGTATATTTGATTGTGGTTTCCTCCCTTTAAATGCCAAATTGAAGAGGTTGCCACAAGTCAACAGAAGAGTGTGTGTAAAAAGGCTCAGGGTGTTGATGGAGAAAAATGCAAAGCAGGAGATGTAATGCATCAGTCCCTTGGGTACTTAAGCAGTCAATACATCGCATAAATAAATCAAATAAAATTGTTGTGGCCATGAGAAGCAGCATCAGGTTCATCTGATACGCCAGTTGCGTCCCTTTCTAAATCGGGACTCCCTACACACGGTCACTCAGGCATTCGTCACTTCCCGCCTGGACTACTGCAATGCTCTCTACATGGGGCTCCCCTTGGGGTGCACCCGGAGGCTCCAGTTGGTCCAGAATGCAGCCGCGCGGGGGATTATGGGAGCGACGGGGCACTCCCATGTGACACCTCTCCTGCGCGAGCTGCACTGGCTTCCTGTGGTCTTCCGGGTGCGCTTCAAGGTGTTGGTGACCACCTTTAAAGCGCTCCATGGCTTAGGGCCAGGGTATCTACGAGACCGCCTTCTGCCGCCAATAGCCTCCCACCGGCCAGTTCACTCGCACAGAGAGGGCCTCTTCAGGGTGTCGTCGGCCAGACAACGTCGGCTGGCGACCCACAGGGGGGGAGCCTTCTCTGTGGCAGCACCTGCCTCTGGAACGACCTACCCCCAGAGATATGCACAATACCAGACCTCCAGACTTTTCGTCGGGCCCTGAAAACACATCTATTTCATCTAGCCGGGCTGGCTTGATCCCATCCTTTCGGTTTTAATTTGAAATTGGTTTTAACTGGGTTGTTTTAAATTGATGGCCAAAATTATTTAATGTCTTTTAAACTGCTTTTAAATTTTATATGTTGTGTTTTACCGTGGCTGTTCACCGCCCTGAGTCCTGTTGGAGAAGGGCGGTATATAAATAAATAAAAATAAATAAATAAATAAATAAAATAAAATAAATAAAATAAAATAAAATAATAAAATAAAATAAAATAATAAAATAAAATAATAAAATAAAATAATAAAATAAAATAATAAAATTAAATAAAATTAAATAAATAAATAAATAAATGAAGTTTTGGTTAAGCGCTGGACTAGTAACAGGGAGACTTCAGATTCTAGTTTTTCCTTAGAGACAGAAACCAGCTGATAAACCACTCTCTCTCTGACCAAATCAGCAGGCCCAAATCAGCATTGGGTGTGCTCTGGGACTCATAAACACACAGAGACCCTTACGCCCCTTCCTGGCATTATGTATTGGCAGCTTCACTGTGAAGCATTAAACAAATGCAGTGCAAAGCAAACAGACCCTGCATCCATCAGCTAAGAAAAATATCAACAGGGACTTGACTAATCATTTCTTATTGCTCAGTCACTAAATTGTGTCCAACTCTTCCCAGCCCCAAGGACCATAGCAAGCCATCCCCCAACTCCCATCCTTCACTTCCTCCCGGAGTTTACCCCAATTCATGTTCGTTGCATCCATAACACTATCTAACCGCCTCATCCTCTGCAGTCCCCTTCTCCTTTTGCCTCCAATCTTTCCTAACATCAGGGTCTTTTCCATGGATCCTCTCTTCTCATTTAGCGGCCAAAGTATCTGAGTCTCAGCTTCAGGATTTGTCCTTCCAAAGAACAGAGTCAGGGCTGATTTCCTTTAGGGTTGACTTTGATTTGATCTCTTTGCAGTTGGAAGGAGGCTTCTCCAACACCACAAACCAATCTAATCACCACTACAATTATAATGGAGCTAATAGGACAGGGAAAAGGCCAATCTCGCCTTTCTTCCCTTCGCTCCAACTCACCTTTACCGCTTGCTATTTAGCTATGCCACCCTTGCCTTCTTCGGCCAGCTTTCTCCTCCTGCAAGATTTCAAATGAGGCGCCGGCTCTTTCTTCGGCCACCGGATTGGCTGGCGCCTAGCGCTCCTCCTCCCCCCACCCCCGCCCATTGCACGGAAAAGAGTGGGAGGAAGAAGGAATGGAATGTAGAGGGGGGAACGTTGCTCCGCGCCCGCTGGGATTCTTATCCCACCCATCTCCAGCTACATTGCTTTTCACATGTTTGTTTGTGCGCCCAAGGAAGGAGCACACTTTATTGGAGACTTGGGAGTTGCAGAAATTAAGCAGGATACAGTTTAAAAGTTTTTACAAGTTGGTCTTTATTTTACAGATACGTGCATTGCTGCTGCCCGGTTCATTAGATTCTAAACCAGGGGTCTCCAATCTTGGCAACTTTTAAGACTTGTGGACTTCAACTCCCAGAATTCCTCAGCCAGCAAAGGTTTGCTGGCTGAGGAATTCTGGGAGTTGAAGTCCAAAGGTTTGCTGGCTGAGGAATTCTGGGAGTTGAAGTCCACAAGTCTTAAAGTTGCCAAGATTGGAGACCCCTGTTCTAAATAGCTTAGGTAGATCATTGCTTTAATATATATATAGGAGTAATTACTAAGGAGTAATATATATATATTACTCCTTAGTCTCCCAATGGGCAATAGGGTGCTTGCTGGCTGCCTGAAGAAAAAAAGCCTAGAAACTAGTGGATTGGTATATCACTGAACTAGGACTGCATAAAAATTTTGGTTTAAGTAGGAAGAACCTGGCTAAAGAGAAATACACATAAAGGCCTACGAAAAGAAAAGATATATATATATATTATATATATTATTTAATAAATATATATATTAAAAAAACAAATTCAGCCTCTTGAAACTCCTTGCCACGAAGTGCTGTAAAAAAAGCGAAGCGTTTTTTCCCTGAATTTCTAAAGGAAAGCAGAATGAGGGCTTTAGGGTAATCCGTGAATCCCAGCCACCTTAATGGATGGAGGGGCAGATTAAATGTGTTCAGGAATAGCCCTGATAGGAGGGACTTTAATTGTGTAAGATGGAAATTCTGAAAACAACAGAAGCTCAAGCTCTGCAAGACTTTTAGTGTCAACTTTTAGTGCCCAGGATTCAAAAATAGCTTCCCAAAGTTGTGTTGGTTTGCTAAATTATTTGACTCCAGGCAATTGTATGCTTGGATTGTGCCCTAAGAAATGATGGATAGAACCAAGGCAATAACTGATATAAATTTCATTGATTTGATGTGCAAGTTGGCAGGAGAATTCTGGGAGCTGAAGTCCACAGATCTTAAAGTTGCCAACATTGAGAACACTTGTTTATTATATTAAACCAATACAGTACTGTTCTTGTTTTGAGCTTTTTTGCCTTGCTGGATATGATATGTAACAGGCTCTGAGGCAGTAAAGGCCTCCTAATGAAGCATCTCTAAGAGGCAGCTGTCTTTTTAATGAAATGCAGGCCAATGACTTCAGCAATGTTTAATGTAGAATAGGAAGTTCACAGTATTTCTTCTTATGGGAATATTCAAAGACAATATGGAAATATAGCAGCACCAACACACTCTAGTTTGACCTTGGTACTGAAGTTTTTGCAAAGTTATTATGATGTTATAAACTGCTGAGTCACTTAGGAGAGACGAGAAATGCAGAAATTTAATAAATGCATTTTAAAAAGTTTAGGATCCTTGACTATACCTTACATCCCAATTAAATATAATAGCTAAAGAAGGAATTAGGTAGGCACAAAATAGGATGTTATATTGTGATTGACATATGGTGTGTGTGTGTAGGTACATATATATATATTGACAGCGAGCATCAGAATTTCATTTTTAATGTGTCAGTGTGTTCACAGAAAAAAGTGACAAAAAAGCTTATCATCATCTTATCTTAAACTATGTTAAGATAACTACCAGATAAAATATTTCATGAGAATTCTTTAAAATGACATGTTCAAACTGGGCTGAATAGTATAATCACAAAAACCAAATGAGAAAAAAGCATAAAGTAAAAGTGCTGCTAAAATTTCCTTCTATTTCCTTCTTTGTAAAATTTCCTTATATTTCCTTCTTTGGCCAGCTGTTATAAGGGAGGCAATTATAAGGGAGGATCAATTATACTGGATTGGGCTTAAATTCTTCCATATGACATCAAAGTTAATCAAAAGAGTCAAAGGCTTATCTGTGAGCATTTAGTGCAGGTACCCTCATCTGGTGACCTTCCCAAGTATTGGTTCATAACACCCATAATCATTAAATATTATTGCCAAAAATATAACTCCTCTTCCATGGTGCCAAAAGAAACCTGAACTGTGGTGATTCCAAAGTTAACTATCAAAACAGCATTAAACCTTATTGTAGAAAATAACTGTTCAGTATATGACATTTCATGTGAGATGGCTTAGGCTGAGAGAGAGGGACTGGCCCAAACTCACACAGCCGATTTTCAGGCCTAAGGCAGTGCTAGAGCTTAGTCCAAGTCTCCTGGTTTCTAGTCTAATGCCTTAATTACTAGACCAAACTAGTCCTATGGATTCAATGGCTGCCCTGCACACTGCAATCTCAGGAAAAGATATTTTTGGTTTAAGACAGGGGTGTCAAACTCAAGGCCTGCAAGCCAGATCCAGCCCATGGGGTGCTTAGATCTGGCCCGCAGGGCCGCCTCAGAAACAGTGAAGGACTGGCCCATGGTGCTTCTGCCAGCGAAAGCAGAGCTCGGGAGGGCCGTGTTGTGGCCCACCAGCGGCCAGTGGATCTGGCAGCAGATTCGGACAGTGAGGAGGTTGGGGAGGAACATGGGCCAGTCCTGGAGTCTGGGGAAGGCTCTGATGAGGGCTCTGCATCGGAGGCAGAGAGGGGGCCAGGACCATATGCCACTTATCAGCTGCCTTTGGAGTCAGACATCAGTGAGGCAGACAAACAGCTGGAGCCTGTTCCTAGTGTGCGCATGCGCAGAGTTGCCAGATGAAGGGAACAGCTAAAGAACAAGGGTCGATTTGGGAGTAAGGCCACAAGTGGACGATGAATGGCCCCTCCCAGAGGGAATAAAAGAGGAGCGAAAAGGGGAGTGGAGTTTGCAGGAAACAATTAGTTCATTACTGCATTCTTGCCAAGTATTGTGGCGTCTGAAAGATATCGGCCCGGCCACTCTCCAAGCCTGATAAAGGTTGGTAATTGTGAACTATCTTGAAAGACTGGGGGAGAAGAAAGACTTTGCTGAGAGGAATTCACTGTAAATTAAATAAAAGGCTTTTTTGTCGGGACGAGGACTCGGCTTCGTGGTTTGGGGAAGCACAGGTCAGAAAAGGCCGCATGTGACCCTCTCAAGCTCCGTTTTCACTGGCAAAGTGCTAGAGCTACCACAGGTGCCAACACAAGGTGACATCGAGCTGGCCATGCGCACCTGACCACACACACCAGCCCTCCGAGGTCAAACACAACCCTGATGCAGCCCTCCATGAAATTGAGTTTGACGCCTCTGGTTTAAGGGATCACAGAGAAGTTACGTGCACTCCCTCTGCACTGACAAATTTTAAACTTCAAATCTAAAACACATGCAGTCCAATCATTTTCCTTTCATTCTATTTTTACTATTGCCTACAAATTAAATAGTCCTTAAAAATCAATTGTAACTTTCCTTTCCTTTTCGAGACCGTCTTCTGCCACCAGTAGCCTCCCACCGGCCAGTCTGCTCCCACAGAGAGGGTCTCCTCAGGGTGCCATTGGCCAAATTATGTCGGCTGGCGACACCCAGGGGGAGGGCCTTCTCTGTGGGAGCCCCTGCCCTTTGGAATGAACTGCCCCCAGAAATGCGTAAGATCTCCGATCTCCGTGTATTTCGCTGTGCCCTCAAAACCTTGTTGTTCCGCCAGGCCGGGCTATCAATGTAGATTTTAATTGGTTTTAAATGTGGGATTTTAAATTTGGGGGTTTTATAATTGAGCCAATTATTTAATAATTTTAATTATTTTTAAATTTTGTCTGTCTTTCTGCTTTTAATCAGGCTGTACACCGCCCTGAGTCCTTCGGGAGAAGGGCGGTATAGAAATAAAATTAATAAATAAATAAAAATAAATAAATAAAAGTCACTGATAGTGTTCTTGGAAACCCAGAGCTTGAACTCTTACTGTAAATATTTATTTTATTTATTTATTAATCTAATTTTTATACCGCCCTTCTCCCGAAGGACTCAGGGTGGTGCACAGCCAAAGATAAAAACAAATACCCATATAAAATTTAAAAACAATTTAAAAACACATTAAATAGTTTGGCCCCAACGTCATTAAAACATAAACAACCCATTAAAATTAATGATTAGGCCAACCCAACTTGTTGGAACAATAACGTCGAGGGCACTGCGAAAGGTGCATAAGTCAGGGATCATCCGTATCTCCAGGGGCAGTTCATTTCAGAGGGTGAGTGCCCCCACAAAGAAGGCTCTCCCCCTGGGTGTCGCCAGTCGACATTGTTTGACCGACGGTACCCTGAGGAGTCCCTCTCTGTGGGAGCGCACTGGCCTGTGGGAGGCTATCGGTAGCAGAAGGTGATCTCGTAAGTACCCAGGTCCTAAGCCACGGAGCGCTCTAAAGATGGTAACCAACACCTTGAATCGCACCCAGAAGACCACCAGAAGCCAGTACAGCTTGCGCAGGAGTGGTGTTACATGGGAGTGCCGTGTCGCTCCCCTAATCACCCACGCGGCCGCATTCTGGACTAGTTGGAGCCTCCAGGTGCTCTTCAAGGGGAGCCCCATGTTGAGAGCATTACAGCAGTCCAGACGGGAAGTGACGAGGGCATGAGTGACTGTGCGCAAGGAGTCCCGATCCAGAAAGGGACTCAACTGGTGAATCAGGCGAACCTGATAAAAAGCCCTCCTGGCCACAGCCATCACATGATCTTCTAGATCTTCTAGAGACAGCTGCACATCCAGGAGGACACCCAAGTTACGAACCCTCTCTGAGGGGGCTAAGATCTCACCCCCAATAGTCAGCGATGGAACCAGCTGGCTATAACGGGACACCGGAAACCACAGCCACTCGGTCTTGGAGGGGTTGAGTCTGAGTCTGTTTCTCCCCATCCAGATCCGCACGGCCTCCAGACACCGGGACATCACGTCAAGGGCATCATTGGGGTGGTCCGGGGTAGAGATGTACAGCTGAGTATCATCAGCGTACTGATGGAACTTCACCCCAAAACCATGGATGATCTCACCCAGCGGCTTCACATAAATGTTGAACAGGAGGGGTGAGAGGACCAACCCTTGCGGCACCCCACAAACAAGGCACCTCAAGGTCGACCTCTGCCCCCCTGCCAACACAAACTGCGTACGGTCAGAGAGGAAGGAGGAGAACCACCGCAACACGGTGCCCCCCACTCCTAACACCTCCAACCGGCGCAGCATGATACCATGGTCGATGGTATCAAAAGCCGCTGAGAGACCTAATAGGACCAGGAGAGAGGAACAACCCTTGTCCCGAGCCCTCCAGAGATCATCAACCAATGCCACCAATGCCGTTTCTGTGCTGTACCCAGGCCTGAAGCCTGACTGGTACGGATCTAGATAAACAGCTTCATCCAGGTACTGGGGAAGTTGTCGCGCCACCACACTCTCAACAACCTTCGCCACAAACGAAGGTTGGAGACTGGCCAATAGTTCGCTAATACAGCCGGGTCCAGGGAAGGCTTCTTGAGGAGGGGTCTCACCACCGCCTTTTTCAAGGCGGAGGGGAAGAAACCCTCACTCAGAGAAGCGTTAATAATCTCCTGGAGCCAGCCTCGTGTGACCGCCTGGGAGGCCAGCACCAACCAAGAGGGACACGGGTCCAATAAACATGTGGTAGCGCTAAGCCTATCCAGAATCCTGTCCACATCCTCGGGAGTCACAGGGTCAAACTCCTCCCAGATAATATTCTCAAGACCTACCTCCATCACCCCATCTGAACCTACCCAGTCAGAGTCCAAGCCTTCCCGAATCTGAGCGATTTTGTCATGCAGATATTGCACAAAGTCCTCAGCCCTACCCTGCAAGGGGTCTTCCCGTGCTCCCAAATGAAGTAGGGAGCGGGTCACTCTAAACAGGGCGGCTGGGCAGTTATCTGCAGAGGCAATAAGAGCAGAAAAATAATTAGTTTTTGCTGCTCTTATCGCCACTAGGTAGATCTTAATATGAGATTCTCACCAGTGTTCGGTCAGCTACGGAACGGCTGGCCCTCCAACCGCTCTCCAGGTGTCTTTTCCGGCGCTTCATCTCCCTCAGCTCCTCAGAGAACCAGGGAGCCAATTGGGATCGGCACCGGGTCAGAGGCCGCAAAGGCACGACGTGATCTAAAGCTCCAGTGGCCGCCCTTTCCCAGGCGGCCACCAGTTCTTCAGTCGAGTCATGAGCCAGAGCCTCAGGGAATGGCCCAAGCTCCTTCAGGAACCTATCCGGATCCATCAGGCGCCTGGGACAGAACCACTAGTCAGTTCCGTCTCCCTGCGGCAGAGGATAGCGGCTTGAAAGTCTAGTTGAAGGAGTGAATGATCTGACCATGACAAGGGCTTGATGACTATATCCCCTATTTCTAGATCATTCAGCCACTGACCAGAGACAAAAATCAGGTCCAGAGTGTGTCCCCTCGTGTGAGTAGGGCCTTGAACTAACTGGGTCAGGTCCACGGCTGCCATGGAAGCCATGAACTCCCGGGCCGCCTCTGACGTTTCACCGACAGATATACTTTGTTTTTCATCATAATTAACATACTGTAATTACTTTGGCTTTCAATATAAAATATGTTTTTTTTCTTTTGTCATGCAAAAATAATCATGTGATTTCAAGCACAATGAGGAGGTTTGGAAGTTTGAGATGATTGTACTTGGTTGTAGATCAGCTACCACTGAAAATCCTGGTTTATTTTTTTTAACAGAATAATTGCTGTGGTTCCCCAAGGTTATAAAATCCTTTTTTGACTAAACAGGGGAGGTGAAAAAGATACCTTTCAGAGACTAAACCTCTGTCTTAAGATATTTGCAGAAATGGAATTGTCACATCTTATACCAAACTTTCCAGTCTAGTACCCTCCAAATGTGCTCTCCAATGACTGCCAAGGAATTATGGGAGTTGTAGTTTCAACCAACTTGGTGGACACCACCTGGGGAAGGATATCTTATCCCATCAGTAAAAAGACAGACTTTATGTACTCTCAGGCAGAACCCCTGTCAATCTAAACTATTGCATGTGCTGCCACCATTCTATAAATAATACCAAAAATAAAATGGATTAATGTTTTACTTAAGAGTCACAAAGGTAAGTATGAAATTCAGAAGTTTATTCTGCTTGCTTTCAAAATTTTAAGAACTATTTTTTAAAAGCAGGTAGCAAAAGGTATAAATTCAAGAAATATTACTTAGGGCAGAAATTATTAAGAAAAAGAATGTTAGTTGCATTTGAAAATGCAAATAATTTTAACTAAACAATCCAGATGGAGGCGGGGGGGGGGGGGGAATATCCACACACCAAGAAATGGGATACTTTTTGTTTAACTTATTGTAGCTAAATTTCTAGCAAAATGACCACATGTATTTCAATAGGCTTGCCCCCACCTACACCACTGGGCCACAGTGGCTGCAGGTCTTTTCAAACATTTTTAGATGGCCAATTCAGGCCAGGTGTGGCGCAAATAAGGATTGTTGCAACAGATATTCAGAGAAACAGGGGAAATCCCCTTCACATTCCAGTATTGCATGACTCAACAATCTTTTCAGGTACTTTTACGGAAGAAAATAAAAATAGTTCTGCAGGCCACAGATATGTCTCAAGGTACCTCACTTATCTCAAGGGAACCTTTAATTAGGAAAAGGGATCCATTTTTTTTATTTGGGCGTGGTGGTGGCTTGAAGGGAGCACGCCAGATGATCATGCCACATGAATAGGCAAAAACAGGTTACAAAATGTGGGCCATGACCAGGAGTGAAATTCAAATTTTTTCCCTACCGGTTCTGTGGGCATGGCTTGGTGGGCGTGGCAGGAGAAGGATATTGCAAAATCTCCATTCCCACCCCACTCAGAGGCCAGCCAGAAGTGATATTTGCTGGTTCTCCGAACTACTCAAAATTTCCGCTACCGGTTCTCCAAAATCCCCTGGCCATGACCATTCTGGGTGCTGTGTGGACTGCAAAAAATTGTGGACCTGAAAGGGCACAACTGTCCACTTCTGGATTAGAATGAGAAATGGAAAAATAAGGAGGATGCATAGGGGTGGAAAGTGAAATTACAGGTGGTCCTCACTTAACAATCAGTTGCTTAGCGACTGTTCAAAGTTACGACAGATGTAATTCCTGGCTCAATTATGATCATAAGTTAAGGACTACCTATATCTCTCTCTCACTGAGAGATATGAGAAGGATAAATTAATAGCATCTTCCTGCCTTTTAAAAAGCATATAACTTACCATTTTCCTCTGGGTAGAATAAAAGAAAAAAAACCCACTTTGGATATCCCCAAGAGAAATAGAAGTCTCAAGTTTTACGCAACACTTTCTGATGTTAGTGTACAAACCAAAAATTCTGATTGTATCCTAGCTCTGGCTTAAAAATGGTCCAATTTGAAAGTGGTCAGCATCCGGAGATGTCCTTTGTTTTGTTTTTTCGTTGAAATCTTGTATCCGTTGGGTCAAAGCCTCTTTCCTGAGCTCCAAACACTGCCCAAGGAGGAGTCAGTGCTACATAGTCAGCAGAAGTGAATGTTTTAATTCCTCCACTCTGTTCATATTCATGGACCAATTCTTGAAAGCGATCATAATCAATCCAGGTGTGCCATTTCCCTTCGATCTTGAACTAAAGGAAAAAGCAGACATGATTGTGATAATAGAGGGATGGGTTGTTTTTGTTTTTTTTTAAAGAAGGGGCTTGCTCTAAAGATGTTTACTATAATATACTGATTTAGTCAAAACTTTGAAACAACACACTCAGCTTTCTCTAAGCTGGTCACTCTCCACATGTAGGATTTCAATCCCCAGAATTCCCCAGCTAGCATGACTATTGCTAAGAATTCTAGGAGCTAAAATCCACACATCTGGAAGACAGAAAGAGTGGAGAAAGCTGTACTGAAAAATAATAGAAGGCCCCCGGGGGGGAGAGCCTTCTCTGTGGGGGCACCTACTATCTGGAACGAGCTCCCCCCAGAGATACGGAGGATCCCGGATCTACGCACCTTCCGCCGCGCTCTTAAAACCTTTTTATTTCACCAGGCTGGTCTGGCCTAACCTTTCCCATTCTTTTTTAATGTAAATTTTAATGTAAATTTTAATTTGTTCTTAACCTGGGTTTTTAAATTTGTCTTGGGCTAAATTGATTTAATTCGATTTTATTTCTATTCTTAATTTTTGTATTTTACGTGTTTTATTCTGTGCCTGTTCACCACCCTGAGTCTTTCGGGAGTAGGGCGGTATACAAATAAAATAAAATAAAATAAATAAATAAAAATATCGGTTTCTTGTTTGGATTAGTGTGCTCTATGAGCCAGCCATTTTTTTTCTTCAGAAAAACCATAATTAAACAAATCTTTCTTTAGTTTGATGTGTGACCTAGTGAAGTTTACTGAAGGTAACTTTGTTATGATAGACAGCTTTAAAGCAATGCTATGGGTACTAAGACTTCTTATTCAGTGGTGAAATCCAAATTTTTTTACTACCAGTTCTGTGGGCGTGGTGTGGCTTGGTGGGCGTGGTTTGGTGGGTGTGGCAGGGGAAGGATACTGCAAAATCTCCATTCCCACCCCACTCTAGGGCATTTGCCAGTTCTCCAAACTGCTCAAAATTTCCGCTACCGGTTCTCCAAAACCTGTCAGCACCTGCTGGATTTCACCCCTGCTTCTACTGAGTCAATCTCCCCCAAAGGTGCTTTTTCAAAAGGCAACTGGACTTGTTTTAGGTCCTTCAGTTCAGCTGAACTTGAAGCTTCTTGGATGAGAAGTGAAAACGTCTTCAAGGAAAAACAAAGTCCAGTTGCCTTTTGAAAAAGCACGTTTAGGACAGCCATGACCTGGATGACTGAGAATCTCCACAGACATTAATCTCTCCCTCTTCACTCCACTTGGACATCCTAATATCAAATCTAACCTTTTTCACTGTCATAGACCAGTATTTTGCATCTCGATTATAATTCCCTAACCCTGCTCTCCGCTCAGATGTTACAATTTATTTAGTACAGCCTGCTCCACCAAGCAGAGATTTTTGATTGTCATGGATTGTCCTCAAAGAACTTCCAGAAGTGGCCCAAAAGACTGGGCATCTCTTCTCATTTGGAGAACAGGAGCATGACCTCATTCTCCTTGGTTGGATTAGATTTCCAATTTTGAGTATTCATAACATGCCTATTAATTTGATTGCTCTTTTACCTCACTTTTGCAATTCCCGTTGTTAAATTTACGCTTGTTGTGACTTGAATGCTGGACTCCCTCACATAGTATCCATAGATGTCACAGAGACATCATTACCTATGCCAGTGATGGTGAACCTTTTACTCACCGAGTGCCGAACAGGTATGTGCTTTGCACGTTTTGCGCTTCATGTGCCATCTGCGCTAACATACGGCTCCTCCCCCATGCATTGCGTGCGCAACCACGCCATTTGCGCATGTTTTTGCACACACCCACTGTGCACTGCACAGGCAACCACACCATCTGCGCATGCACACAGCTTTTGCATGCGCCACCATGCTCTGCGCACGCAATCCCACCATCTGCGCATGTGCGCATGCTTGCACGCAATCGCATCATCTGTGCATGCACATGGTTTTCATGTGTGCAATGCACACGTGAACACCATCAGCACATGTGCACACTGCGCATGCATGCGCAGGAGAGCTCTGAAGACCAACTGGGTCCCCTGAATTACACAAATGCGCACTGGAGGCCCCATTACCAGCTGGGGGGGGCGCATGCATGTGCAGCTGCAAGTGAGATGGGCGACAGCTCGCATGCCCAGAAAAATGGCTCTGCGTGTCACTTCTGGCACACGTGCCATAGGTTTGCCATCACGGATCTATGCTCTTTGCTTCATTTAAATTTGGGTTTAGATTTTCCAAATAGCAATTAATCACAGATCTGGCAGGCCACCTTAGACCCAAAAAAAAATGCTGTTGTTTGCTCAGACAAAAAATGGAAAAGCTGAATTGATAGACAGTATCCTGCAGGACTAGAAAAAGTAATATGGGACCATCTCACCAGAATGTCCTTCTGTTAAATGGATATTTTGAGATTGGCACCCACTAAACAGGGCAGCCTTTGGCAAACTGGCAAAGCCATGGCAACCCTTTACAGCAACCAATCACATGGCCTGAATCCCGAAGAGGCCTGTGGCTCAAAAATATTGGCACCCTTATTTCAAAAACGTTTGTTTTTAATGGTTTACAATTGTCATAAAGCACCTTCAAGAACATTACAGGTAGTCCTTGATTTATGACCACAGTTGAGGTCAGAATTTCCATCGCTAAACAAGGTGATTGTTAAGTGAGTCACACCCGAATTTATGATCTTTCTTGCCACAGTTGTTAAACAAATAGTTGAAGTCATTAAGTGAACCATGCAGTTGTTAAGTGATCCTGGTTTCCCCCATTGACTGTGGTTGTTGAAAGCCGGCCAGGAAGAAGCAAATGATGATCAAACGAGCCAAGGATGCTGCAAACATTGTAAATACATGCTGGTTGTCAAGCACCCTAATTTTAATCACATGACCGTGGGAATGCTACAGTGGTCCTAAAAGGCAAAGACTGGTCATGTTACTTTTTTTTTCAGTGGCATTATAAGTTTGAATGGTCGCTAAACAAATAAAGGTAATCTTTTACTTACGACCACAACTAAGCCCAAAATTTCTGTTGTTAAGTGAAACATTTGTTAGGTGAATTTTGCCCCATTTTACGACCTTTCTTGCCACCGTTGTTAAGTGGATCACTGCAGTTGATAAGTTAGTAACCCGGTTCTTAAGTGAATCTGGCTTCCCTGTTGACTTTGCTTGTCAAAAGATCTCAAAAGGAGATCACATGATCTTGGGACACAGCAACAGTCCCAAATATGAACCAGTTGCCAAACATCGGAATTTTGATTTTTAAAATTTTAAGTTCCGGAGCTTGCAGGATGTCTGCTTCTTTCTTTACTAATATACCTGGAACTCAGTCCGAAATAGATCTATATTAGTCTCCCAATAGGCAGCAAAATGCTTGCTTGCTGTCTGAAAAAGCCCAGGATAGTGGATGTGATTTCACTGAACTAGGGCTGCATAAAAATCTTGGTTTACGTAGGAAGAACCTGGCTAAAGAGAAATACATACATGTATGTATGTATGTATGTATATATATATGATCATGGGGATGCTGCAAAGGTCTTTAACTGTGAAAAGTGGTCCTGTCACTTTTTTTCAGTGCCGTAACTTTGAACTAAACAAACTGTTGTAAATCGAGGACTACCTGTAGAGTCTACAATGCTAATAGTGCATATTTCAATCTTCCTACCCAAGTTTCGGGAAAAGACCCTGAGAGGCTTAGAATTACCTTCTTGTGGGCAATGAGGAGACAGTTGGAGTGCTCGTGTTCGCTGGCAATTTCGTAGTCTGGGAGGAGGTCAGCCAGCTCTTGCACGAAGCGCTTCACTTCTTCATGCCAAGGGACGTTGGCCATGGTGAGGTTGCTGGCTGAACTTTCCCCACAGTATGTCACGCCCTGTTGAAGAAACATTTATTTAAGATTAGAGCCTGTTCTGTCCCCATCTCACACACGCACACAAACAGATAGTCAGGGGTTAAATAAAACTGGCAGAAAACAAATTCTTTCGATAAGAGGCTTGGCAGCAACCCAGTAGCTGCTTGCCAAGAACTTTAGTCATAGAGGGAGGGGTTGTTCCTCCGACAGATAAACCCAAACAAGATACACACAGTTCAAGAATTGTCAAGTCCAGTCCGTATTAAATCCAAGGCAGATAACGTTGTTTCAAAGATACAATGTGACTCGCTAGTAGTTTGTTTTGTCCGTCACAGAGTCTGAATGGCCACCTCACCCCCTTTTATCCCCTGTGGGGTATAGTCCAGTGACTCAGCCTAATCTCTGGCACGCCTCCTCTTCTGCTGCGCGCGCCTGTCTCTCCGACGCTGGTGTGGATCCAGCCAAGACTTATCTCCGTCACTGTCCGACTGCGAGGAGATACCTGGCTCCTGGCCAATCTCTTCTCCTTCAGGAGACACCTGAGGCATTGCCAGAGAGGAGGGTCCTGGAGAGGGAGGCCTGGCCAACTCCTCTCCTTCATGTTCAGAGCCTTCTCCCTCCGATAACACAGGCTCAGGTAACGGAGCCACAACAGAGCCCTAGACTTCTCTCACATTCAATTTTTGGATTATTTTTTTTTCCAAAAGAACATATTGGCGTAAAGCTAGGAAACGCTAGCGCAGTAATGTCAGAGGTGGAATTCAGCCGGTTCGGGCGAACCAATAATGGAAATAGAGCCGTCCTATTTAGGCACATTTTTGAGGCCGGGCGCATGCGTGGGAGGACGCGTGAGAGCAAAGCACATGCACAGAAGGCGCACACGTGAAACAAGTGTGCACGCACACGGCAAACTGGTGGTAACAAAATGTGAAATCCACCGCTGAGTAACGTTACAAATTACTCAAAAAGAAGGATTTTCATAGCAAAACAGCAATGAAGGTAATCCTTGATTTATGGGACTGAAGTTACGACAGATTCCAAAAAAAGCTACTTATGATCTAGATCAGGGGTCTCCAACCTTGGCAACTCTAAGCCTAGCAGACTTCAACTCCCAGAATTCCCCAGCCAGCAAAGCTGTGGGTTTTCTGGAAGTTGAAGTCCACCAGGCTTAAAGTTGCCAAGGTTGGAGACCCCTGATCTAGAGTCAAAATTCTGCAGGCCAGGCCCTCCTGCAGTCATGTGACTACATTTTAGGAATCAGCAACTGGCCCACATTGATTGGCATTTGCAGTGGCTCCCAGTCACGTGACTACGATTTATGCGGTAAAGAGGCATTTACTTCTGGTTTCCAGCAAAAAAACCCAAACACCCCCCATAGTGAACAATGAGTGCTTTACGACTGCCACGTTCACTTAACAACCACCACAAAAAATAAAAGGTCATAAAACCGTGCAGAGTCAAATGGTGACTCACTTAAAGACCTTCACAATTTGTGACCATAATTGGGGGCTCAATTACAGTTGTTAAGTTGAAGACTACCTGTATCAAAATATCACATCTTTGATATTACGCTGACCTAAGAATGATTGTTCAGCTCAACATGGGAAGGACTTCAAATTGGATAGAAAATGAAAGTGCAGGTTGGCCCTGTTCTTTTTCTACCTGGTCTCCATAGATTCAGCTGGAACCCTCGAAAGGTCCAAGGAGATAGTCCCAAAAACCTTACAAGAAGGGCATGAAAGCCTTCACGTTGTCTTCCCTCAGCAAGTAGTGCTGCCTCTGAACATGAACTCTATCATGATGACTAACGTTCTTTCCACCATGAATTCATAGGCTACTCGGCAAAGCCTCTTTTAATTCAGAGTTAGTCATGTAGAAGGTAGAACAAGGGAAAGGCTACAGACTGAGTCATGCAGAATGTAGATTAAGGGGGCAGGGTATAGACTGAAAAGCAGAATGTGCCCTAAAATTATTAGGAAGTAGTTGGAACCAGGCCTAGTCAAACTTGCCATTTATCATACATAAAACATTTGCCTGAAAAACAATGAACTCACACGAAAGGTCAAGTGTGAGAGGCAAGAAGGGCCCACCCTAACAATCAACAGCTCACCTTAACCTCTATGAAATCTGGCTTGCCAAGAGACACCAAGTCTGAATAAGCTTTCAGCTCCTCCACATTCCAAGCTTTCACCAGGGTTAACCTGTATACGGTGCGCTGATGCTAAAAAGAAGTTGGGAGAGAGCAGTTTTCAATTACAACATGCAATATGCTGTTTCCTCCAAAATAAGACATCCCCTGATAATAAGCTCAATCGGGCTTTTGAGCACATGGCAATAAGGCTAAGCGCTTATTTCAGGGTTCAAAAAAATATAAGACAGGGTAAATATAAATAAAAGGATATGAGTAGGACTGTACATCTGGATGCACAGTGTGAGACAGAAATCACATAATTGGTGCTGAATTTAGCATCAAGTTTTCAACTGAAAAGAGCACTAAACCAATCAATCTGAATACAGATTTATTTTAGCTAGGATGTTCACTGTAATCTGAACTTTTGACTCAAAATGTATGTATATTTGAAATTCATGAAGTTTTTGATGATGTTATGAATCCTATAAAAGATCCACAATTATTTCAGTGTCAAGGGGGAACCAAACATAACTTGAGTGCCATACCTTTTCAGCTAAGGCTTGCAAGCTATCTAGAAACCGCTGCCAAAAGTCTTTAAAGAGAGGTCGATCAATCTTCTTCAGACTATCTTTGGTGCTGGCATCCACACTAACATACAGCTGTGTGACAGGCTGGAGATTCCTGTGTGTGAGGCAACAGTGAAAGCTCTGAAATAGAATGTTGCTATTAAAGTTTTTTAGGAAAAAGAAGTTAAAATTCAATATATATCTTTGATGGCAGCTGCTCTGGATTCCAGATTATTTCCAAGAGCATGTGTGACACTGAGGTCCAAAGCGGGGCAGTGTGGCTATACAAAGCTGTTCTTATCTAATTTCGGGCATCTAGCATAATAGAGAATAAATTAAAAATGTAAACCTTGAGGCCACGTGTACCCTCCAAAATCTTTCTTGTGCTTCTCGGTCTCTCCAAACATAACTAAATATACAATTTTCAGAGAGACAGATGGGCAAAATTATTAATTAAGGAAATAATCATACAACTGTATTTAACTGATTTAATTTTAAGTTCACTCAAAGTCAATTATTGTCCAAGCTCCAGCCATTACTGAATCTCTGGCCTGCTGACTTCTCACAATGAATCTCCCAGCACACTATCCAAATTGTAGGTTGAAGTAACAGAATAACAGAGGTAAAAGGGACCTTGGAGGTCTCTTCTCGTCCAGCGGTCACTACCTGGTGATCCGTGGACCACTGGTGGTCCGCAAGAAAATTTTGGTGGTCCGTAAAAAATTATTTGCAATTTTTATCTTGCACTAAATCAGGGATTCTCAAACTACATTCCCTGGCCAGATACGTGCAATGAACGCTTGTGTTGCTGCAGAGAGTCTCCCCCTTTGGGGTCTTTTTGTGTGGGTCGGAGGGGGGGCAGAAATTCCAACTTGGGTCTGCTTCGGCCTCCTGGTGCAGGGCTTTGGGTCAAGGCTGGAGGGAAGTGTCACTGGTGACAAAGAGCCAGAGGGCCTTGTTCCAGTGGGACTGCATCATGGCTTGGAACTGGCTGACCATCTGAGCCCACTGAGCCTCCATATGCTGGTACCTGGCCTTGCACTCCCGCAAGTCTTCCCTCTGCTTGGAAAGCCTATGCTCATAGTCCTCAGTGAGGTGTTTTTGCTGAGCCTCCTTCTCGGTCAGATCCAATTTGAACTGAGCCAGCTGTTTTGCCAACTCTTTCTCGTGGTGGCTGCATAGTTCCAACAACTGCTTCCTGTTGGGGTCTAAGGAGCCTGGGTGGGGAGGAGAGGAGTGGCTGGGAGGGGAGGGGCGAGTAGATGCTGGCGAGGCACCCCTCGATGTGATTGACATGTTGGCCACGCCCACCCAGTCACATGACCACCTTGCCACGCCCACCCAGCCGGTCATTAGGCAGATCATATTAGTTGCCCATGGGATTTAAAATTATGAATTTAGTGGTCCCTGAGGTCCAAAAGGTTGTAAACCCAATATGATTTCAGACAAATGGCTATCCAGTCTCTGCAGCACCAACAAATGGGAAGGAAGAGGTACAATTTCTTAGGATTATCACCTAATTTCCTCTGGAAACTGCGCATTTGTAACCAAAAAACTTGAAATGTTGCGATGATGCAGCAGCTTTAGGAACTGGTTGATCTGGGGGTACATGATTGGCTCCCCAACAAGAGACAGTGCACAATGCTTGGCCTCCATCCCTTCTCTGAAGCGATCATCTCTCACGCCAGGGACTCCTAAAAACAGAATAGCAATAGCAATAGCACTTATATACCGCTTTACAGTGCTTTACAGCCCTCTCTAAGCGGTGTACAGAATCAGCATATTGCCCCCAACAATTTGGGTCCTCATTTTACCCACCTCGGAAGGATGGAAGGCTGAATCAACCTTGCGCCTGGTGGGATTTGAATTGCCAAATTGCAGTCAGCCGGCAGTCAGCAGAAGTAGCCTGCAATACTGCACTCTAACCACTGTGCCACCGAGGCTCTAAATAATAAAGTCATTTCCATAAAGTCATTTCCAACCAGACTGGTGAGAATAGTTTGCAGCAGAGGAACAATTCAGGGCCAGAAGACTGCAGGCAACCCATCTCCCCCTCTCTGTACTCCTTTTGTGACTCCAGAGTTCCTGAAGCACATGTAGTCCTCGACTTACGACCAAAATTCAGTGAATTTTGCCCCATTGTTATGACCTTTCTTGCCACTGTTGTTAAGTAAATAACTGCCGCTGTTGTTAGTAGCATGGTTGTTAAGTGAATTTGGCTTCCGTATTAACTTTGCTTGTCAGAAGGTCACAAAAGGTGATCATGTGACCCTGGGACACTGCAATCGTCGTAAATATGAACCAGTTGTCAAGAGCCTAAATTTTGGTCATGTGATCATGGGGATGCGGCAATGGTCGTAAGTGTGAAAAACGATCGTAAGTCACTTTTTTCAGTACCGTTGTAACTTCGAATGATCACTAAACGAATTGTTATAAATCGAGGACCACCTGTAGAACAATATTTTTAATCCTTTTTATGGTGATGTTTGGCAGTTAAAGGATAATCTAAATGCCTTAAGCTTTTCAGATGATTAAGGAACCAAACCGGCCCAAACATTTAGTTCTTCCCATGAGCTACACTTTCTGTGGCTCTTGGAAGTCAAGATATGTTACAACAGCAATTTCTGGCTGCAAGAAATTCATTCCTAGTTTACCAGTTTACGTATATATATCACAATGTTATGATCATATAATATTCTAATCTCCATTGATGAAAGTGAGGCCCACCTCCAAGAATATGTAAAGGAGTATTAGGAAATCAATTAGTTACACTAAATAAGTACATTTCTTTTCACTGAAGTAGAAATAGTATTTTTTAAAAAAAATAAATTGCAATTAAAGAAGTAAGATTTAAAAGAATTAATCTAAAGGTGTATGTCATAACGTGATTTTAAAACGCATTACAGATTTCCTGTTAATTCTGACAAACACTTTAGATGCTCAGCGCATTTATAGCTGTTTGCAGCATCCCACAGTCATATCACCATGATTTACAATGTTTTTGATAGAAATTGGTTTTTACGTCTGGTTTCCTAAAAGACCGCCCATTGAGAGCAATAGTTACAAAGTTTGCTTAATTGACCATGGCACTCGCTTTACACTGCTGCAAACAATGTAAAATTGGATCCGACATGTGGTTGCCTCGACTTATAACCGTCATGACATACAATGGAAATTCCGGACTCCACTGCAGGACTATCTGTATATAACTAAATCTAGTTTAAAACTAAAATGTTTCTCCTCTTTCCAGAACAGCTTCCATAAACAAACCTTGTTAACACAACTAAAATTCATATACTGAAGAAGAGGACGTCCAAGAATTCTCAAGATGTACTATAATTTCCAGAAACAAAACAGCCTAGGGTCCAATTTAATCATGTATACCTAGGATCAGGGGTGAAATCCAGCAGCTTCTGACAGGTTCTGGAGAACCGGTAGTGGAAATTTTGAGTAGTTTGGAGAACTGGCAAATACCACCTCTGGCTGGCCCCAGAGTGGGTTGGGAATGGAGATTTTGCAATATCCTTCCCCCAGGAGTGGGGAGGGAATGGGGATTTTGCAGTATCTTTCCCCTTGAGTGAGGTGGGAATGGAGATTTTGCAGTATCCTTCTCCTGCAATGCCCACCAAGCCACACCATACCCACAGAACCGGTAGTAAAAAAAATTGGATTTCATTACTGCCTAGGATGAAAAACTTGAAGTTCTGACGTAATAGAAGCATATTTAAAAGAGGCTCTCTTCCCTTGTGTGTCAGTCACTAAGAGATTTCTATATTCAAGATCCAATTTCTTAAAAAAACCCACATGTATAGGATCCTCAACTACCTTTAAACTGTTTGATCAAATTCTGATGGTTCTCAATGGCCTCCTTCAAGATCATCTCTGGCTGGTCCATCTTCCATCGCCACTCTGTGCCAACAGGATTTGTGTGGTGTCTGAAAAATAGAAATGTATTGTTAAGAAACAATGCTATGTACCTGAGAATTAATCTGATAGTTTAGGACAGGCTGTCAAACTCGCAGACCCCGGGGCCAGATGCATCACGCGCTGGCCATACCCATGCCCATGCCCATTTTAGCAAAGGGGAAAAAAGTCACGATACATCACGTGACGCCACCATGACGACATGAATTTGACACCCCAAAGTGACTATCAAAATGAAAGCAGCGCTTTTCTGATCATTTGTCCCTTGGTAGAATCGATCCCAGACAGCAAGTCTGATGAATAATGAAGGCATCAAGGCTAGAATCCGAGAGATTGTGACTTGTAGTCCTGTCTTAGGCATGAAGCCCGTTGGGTGACCTTGGTCCAGTCAAGCTCCCTTAGCCCTAGGAAGCAGGCAATGGCAACCCACTTCCAAAATCTTGCCAAAAAAACTGCAGGGATTTGTCCAGGCAGCCATCAGAGTTCTACTCTGACTTGGAGGCACAAACATTTGAACATGTTAAGGATATTGTTGTTGTATTACCAACCAGCAGAGTGTAGAGCACAGAGAAACGTTGCTGAGAGCAATGAATAAGAGATGTGCAAACTGGTTTATCAAAAGTTTACTTTATAGTGAAAAAACAATCTCATAGTCTTTAAATCAATCCAAGTCTTTGCCAGTTAAATCAGTCCAGTAATACAAAAACTCTTCTTACCACACAAACAGTAGTTGTTTAGAATAACAAACTCACTCTGGTTCATAAACCACGATGGTAGCAGATCCATCCAACCAATGATAGCACAATGGTTGCAACTCCACACACAATGGTAGCTTATCATTAACTGAATCCATTACAGTACCTTTCTTAAATACATTCACAACCAGTGATTATCTAATTACAGCATGACTCAGCATTAAAATGAATCTGCAGTAAAACTTTAAAGTCACACAATACATATTCATATTAAAGTCACAGAACACATATATTGCCTGGACAACTTGTTAGGCTCAAACCATATCCTAACAGAACATGTTTGCTAAAAAAAAAAATCAGTCCCAGATCTTTACCTCCAACAGAAGACACATTTATTAGCACAAGCCAAGCTCGGTGTGGTCTCCATACAGCGGTGGCTTTCAATGCCGTAAAAAGTGTGCTTGTAACAGCCTCCTCTCCCACGAAGCATCGACTGTCAGACAAATGTGAACAACAACAAAATAAATAACGGTAGCCTCAAGAAGGTGCTGCTATTACAAGCATTTACCTTATACAATCATATCTTATTTTTTAACCAATTATTCTAAATTATTCTTAAACTATAATATATTACATACCATCTTGGAATGAGAAGAAAGGCAGAATATAAACCAAATTTTTAAATAATAATAAATTCTTGCTGGCACTAAATGTTAAACGGTATGTTCTCTACTGGAGAAAAAAAGTATTCTGTAATATGGGGCCATCACTAAATAAAGTGAAGGGAACCCACTGAAGCTGAGTGCAGCTCCTCCTAACCTCAAAAGTCATCTCATCAAATAATAATAATAATAATGTTGTTGTTGTTGTTGTTGTTGTTATTATTTATATTATTATTATTATTATACACAAACTTGACAGTATACACAGCAAACAAAATAACCATGCTGGATTTCGTATCTCAAATCACTAGTCAAACATTTCCCAAACGTTTAGGACTGTGTGATGTATCGGCGGATTATGCGAGCAGATCCCAGGAAGGTGGCTTTCTGCAGCTATTATTTAATTATTATTATCTCTTTTATTCATTAAACATGAAACTCAGTCAACTGAACAATTAAAAATATGTCACAAATACGAGTGACTGGATGATGATGATGATGATTTTACAGCTTTTATTGGCCCATCCTGATCAAAAGACAATGGGTGGGCTGAAACGCATTAAAATATGCAAAATAACAATAGATATTGCATCGCAATGAACATCAAATAACACTTAATTAGAAATGACTGGGTGAAATAAAATCATGAAGTCACCCAGGAGTGGGAAGACATTAACAAATCTAATAAATTCAACTGAACTAAAAATCTACAATTATCTTAATACCATAAAGGAGGGAACATTGCGATAATTAACAGATTTATTTCTGCATTTTCTTTTTATTACCATTCATTTATTTAAAGCATTTTCAGCTTTTCCTCTGTTGCACTGTGATGAATGTAAAACCCACCACAGGGAAGTGGAGCTTCTGATGAGCCAGATTCATTTATTTTAGTTGTCCTCCAAATTCATCTGGAGATCATGAGATTGGGGAAGACCTTTTATTATACATAGTCCTATACTATGTATTAGTTTTTGTATTAGACGCTATTGTTATTACCATCATGATTAGATTACTTGAGGAACCACCATCTCATCCCCCTGGGATTGGCCTGTCCCACTCAAGCCGGGAGAGGAGGCATGCTGTGGTCCTGTGAGCCCAATTATTCCTGCTGGCGGGATCCAGGAGGACCTTCTCTGCTGTTGATCCAGCCCTTTGGGACATCTTGCCGCCCCCCAATCAGGGGTGAAATGCTCCCGGTTTGGACTGGATCGCCTGATCCGGTAGCGATGGCGGTGGGTGGTTCGGAGAACCGGTAGCAAAAATCCCTGCCCCCTCCCCCCAATGCCCAGCTGAGCCATGCGATCATCAGAGGCTGTTTTTTTTACTTTTAAAAGCATTTTTTCTACAACCTCTTCGGCCGAAAAAATGCTTTTAAAAAACGCTTTTAAAAAAAGGCTCTGATGATCACGTAGCTCAGCTGGGATTGTCAGAGGCTTTTCAAAGCATTTTTTTCTGCAACCCCTTCGGCTGAAGAGGTTGTAGGGAAAAAATGCCTTTAAAAGCCTCTGGTGATCCCAGCTGACTTGCCTGATCATCAGAGGCTTCTAAAAGGAGGCTTCAGCCAAAGAGGCTGTAGAAAAAAAATGCCTATAAAAGCCTCTGGCAATCCCAGCTGACTTGCCTGATAGAATGCTTTTAAAAGTAAAAAAAAAAAAAAAAGTTGGCCACGCCCACCCAGTCACATTACCCCCACCACCAAGCCACACCCACAGAACCAGTAGTAACAATTTTAGATTTCACCCCTGCCCCCAATGTGAGATTGGCCCCAACCCTCCTATCCTTTTGTTAAGGGCCTAAAACATGGCTCTGATAGTTGGCTTGGGGCCCCAGCGGGGGAGCAGCACAGCAGAGGTGGTTGATCTAGTAACTACAGATCCTACCTCCCCCCACTCCACCCCTGTCCTCCCCCATTCTTAGGTTTTAATTATTTATGTTTTATATTTAATTATTTATGTTTTAATTGTATATATATAGATATAGATATAGATATATTTTTATGCCCAGTTACCCTATGGTAAGATGGGCGGCCAATAAATTTTATAAATAAATTTAAAAATTGATTAGAAAAGTAGTACCTTTGTCCAACGGCAAAGCTTCACTCCAGAATGGCTCCCAATTAATCTATAACCTGAACGGAAAAAGAAGTTTTTGTTTTACTTTGAATGATATAGCAGAAAGAAATGGTCATAAAGATCCTTATGGGCTATCAAATATAAGCACTTTAACACAAGCAAACACTTTTGTTCCAAATCAGCTCCTGTAAGTATCTGGATTCTCAAAACAATGTAAAGTATAAGGTGGTTTAATTGGTTTTGACTATTTTAAATGATTATATTGTTTTCAATACTGTGAAAACCATGTTTTATGTCTCAGTACATGTCTTATTCAATAAACTATGGTCAAAAGTAAATTATGGCTTAGAATGATATATAAGAGAGCCATTTTGATGTAGAGGTGAAGGCACTGGGTTTGAAAATCGGAGAGTGAATTCTAATCCAGCCTTAGGCACAAAATCAGCTAAGTAACCTTGGATCAGTCAGTCTCTCTCGGCCCTAAGAAGAAGGAAAGGGCAATTACCATGTTTTCCTGAAAATAAGACCCTGTCTTATATTTTTTTGAACCCTGAAATAAGCGCATGGCCTTATTGCCATGCGCTCAAAAGCCCAATTGGGCTTATTATCAGGGGATGTCTTATTTTGGGGGAAACAGGATACTTCCAAGCAGGCTGCCAAGAAAACTGCAGAGACTTGTCCAAATAATTCAAGAGTCAAGGTTGACTTGAAGACAAAAATGAACACGCAAAACAAACAAAAGAATATAAACCTAGCCATTTAATTGGTCTGTCTCCAACTGACTACTCTTACAATAACCTTGGCAACTTTAAAATGTGTTGATGCTGGCTGGGGAATTCTGGGAGTTGAAGTCCGCATACCTTAAAATTTACAAAGTTGGGAAACACTGCAATAAAGTGAGTTTTTAATTTAGTTTCACTAGTAGAAATGGGTCTCAACAACCTACATGGTCCTCCCAACCATTTTATCCACACAACAGCCCTGCAAAATAGACCAGGAAAAAGAACAGTTCCAATAGGACATATATATAGTTCAGGGCTCAACAGTGGAGGCCTTCATTGTGTCTGAGCTTTTGGTCTGCTTGCAGAAAACAAGCTCAGTCATTACCTGACTAGGTAACATCCTCAGTGCAATTGAGTGTGGGGTCTGCTCCCTAATTATATGCAGGTTTGTCCAGCCAGTTGTGGTTCCCCACTGAAGAATAGTCTCAGAGTCGAAGCTATTCAATGAGCTTCATAGAAAGTGGGAGCCTGAGCCTCAGCTTTCCTTATAACAAGATCTAACTACACCACTACACCAATTCCCAAAATTCTTGCAATATCCAAGCATGTGTTCCTATAGCTGCTCAATTTCTGAACATAACATACAAAGAAATAAACGCTAGCTTGAAAAGAAGTCTGTGTCAACTCGCAAAGCATTCCTGCTCTCGAGTTGCCATGGGCAGGAAAGGGGGGAGGACTGACGGAGCAATTCAGCAGCCATGTTCTAAAGCATATTCCATGCATAACTTCTTCAAGGTTGGATCTCAGATTACTAGAGCCAGCATGTGAGGCGTGGTTTCTACAGCCCACGAAAGTGCCTCATTGGAGAATGTGATTTATGACACAGACTGAGAGGAGGGGGTAAACAGGGTCAGAGTTGAGCCGTAAATTACGTGCGGCAGAGTTGACTTCACCCGGGAGGTTGCTGACATATTGCTCCTAATAAATAACTGGATTTCTTTTGAAACTTGGCTCAAGGCTCCTGAGTTAATTAGGGCATCTGTTGGGACCCCGACAGTCTGGATAATATTATGAAATTTGTTGGTTTGAGCTCCGAGCTTGGTGATTTGGTTGCAAACATTTTGTCCCCATTCAAAGAGACATCTTCAGTGTGCTTTGGATTGTGCTTGTCTCGGGGAGCACTGGCCTTTAAATATCTGGTCCTGGTCTGATTTCAGTGCTCCTCCAGACAAGCACAATCCAAAGTGCACTGAAGATGTCTCCTCGAATCTGGACGAAATGTTTGCAACCAAATCGCCAAGCTCGGAGCTCAAACCAACAACATAACTACAAACCCAAGCTACTAATATTCAAAGACATTTCATTATGAAATATGGCTGCAAATGTTATGCACCTTTTCCCTGATTACATTTGGGTCTGTCTGTTAACCTTTAAAAAGACTTACATGGCCACCCATTTCAACATTGCTGAGCACATTGTAAGCCGCCCTGAGTCTCTGGAGAAGGGCGGCATATAAATCAAATTTAAAAAAAAAAAAAACAACATACAACTTGAGTGGCTAACAATAATATAAAACATTTAAATTGTGTCTACCTGCAACATTGGGAATTATACGTTTCAACTACCTAAATATTTGAATACAAAATAGCCTTTTTGAAAGCCAGATTAAATGGGTTGTCATCAAATATGTTATATGATAGATTTTTTTAAAATCCCATCTCTCAAAAGATTTTGTCCCTTAATGGAACCCTAAACCATATTTTTACTGCATTGCGAATTTTATAAAAGTTTTGGAAGGAAATTATCTGGGCTATTTGAAAAGCTAAACCAGGAAGACCTTCTTCTGAATATGCAAATTTTCGCTTGCAAATGAAAATCCTAAGCATTCCAGGGGCAACAGCCAGATATTTAACTATGACAATAAAAACAAGGCTTTGGGCTGGCGTCTTAAGTCTACTATGTAATATTTATTAAATATTCTACTTGTTATATCCCTTTGATCTAATGCCAAGTTTAGATTATGATTATGTAACTTGTCTCTGGCCTTTTGGCTGTAAATAAAATTGATTGACTGCATTTAAAACACCAATAATAGCTACAATACACTAATTACAGTAGTGGTCAAAATTGTGAAAACCTTTTGGGAAAAGTATATTTTCTAAAACTAGTTAATAACACCACTTTTTTTTGGAGTAGTACTATAAAATTATATATCAATGGAAAGATAATTTAATCAAGAACATAATGCAATAACTTTTATGAAGGATTTGCTATTAGAATAGCAGTTACAGTATAAAGAAGAAAAGCGAAACACAGAAAAATCGAGATATACAAAAATTATCACCATGTCAGTTAATACTTAGTTGGGTAACCTTTAGCATGAATTACAGCTTTACAACGTCTTCCCATGGAGTGAACCAAGTCTTTTAGTTCTGCAGCTGTTATAATGTGAAACCAAGATGGAATGATTGCTTCTATTAACTGGGTTTAATGGCTGGGTTGCTTCTGACTAACAAGTTTCTTTAGTCGGCTCCATAGATTTTCAATTGGGTTAAGGTCTGGGCTATTCCCAAGCCATTCCAGCAGTGGAACATAATTATCTTGAAACTCCAAAAAAAAAAAGTGGTGTTATTAGCCATCAAACCTCAAAAATACACTTTTCCCAAAAGGTTTCCACAGTTTTGGCCACTACTGTATAATGATAATCAACATAGTTGCCCCTGCACTGCAACCCCATCACCTTGCTTTGTGAGTGCATCTCGAAGAGCAGGAGTGATCATCTCCCTTCTCTCATCCTCCTTTCTGCTATGTTGAGTTCCAACTCCAATGGGAACCTCTCCGTCAATCTGATGCTCTTTCTGTGCAAGAACAACATTTTTTTTTTTAAAAAAGGAAGCTGATTTGTTCTTCATGGTTAGAGAAATCCTTCCATTAAAATGCTATGAAACTGCTACAGCTTTGGCCAGCTTCATAAGATGGCCTTTTTACAATGGACTGGCTGACAATTAGGATTGTACTAGCAACTGAGACTTTCAGTGGCAGAAGGAAGTGTGACTTCTACTGCTATCGCTGCCAGGAGACACCAGCGCAAAAATAGGGCAGGTTGGGCAGTGGTAGAAGTGGCATCTAGCAGCATATTTTTGTTCTGGCCCTAGAAATACAAGTAGTACTCAACTTACAAAAGCAGTTCAGTTGCTAAGCAATGAGTTGTAAAGCATAACCCTACTGCTTAGCAATGGAAATTCCTGCAGGCCCAGTGGCCTTTGTTAACCAAATCCCATTGTCATTAGGCAAGACAACTTCCTGCCAGCTCCCCACAACCAAGTCAATGGGGAAGCCAGCAGGAAGTTGCAAGCCCAAGTGGGTTACAAACCGGCCAAAAGGCAAGTGACTGTTGCTAATTTGGAGAGGGCATGAAGGGGTCCATGATGTTGTGATCCACCAGCAGCCTGCGGAACTGGCAGCGAAGTCGGACAGTGAGGAGGCTGGGGAGGAACATGGGCCAGTCCTGGAGTCTGGGGAAGGCCCGAATCAGGGCTCTGCGTCAGAAGCAGAGATGGGGCCAGGGCCATCTGGGAGTGATGCGCAGACTCCGGAGCCTCCAGAGTCGGACAGCAGAGAGACAGAGGAACAGGAAGAGCCTGTTCCTAATGTACGCATGCGCAGAGCTGCCAGAAGGCAAGAGCAGCTAAAGCAAAAGGGACGACTCGGGAGTAAGGCCAGGAGATGATTGGCCTCTCCCATAAGGCTTAAAAGAGCAGCAAAGGCTCTTGGGTTCTTTGTAGGAAAGAAACATTGCTAAATCTGTTTCCAGTCGGAGTCTCTTATTTCTGAACTTTGTGGGGCTTTGCCAAAAAAGGTCTTTGGCAGGGTGCCAAAGAAGATAAAGATTTGTGATAAGCCCGAAGGACTTATTCTGAAAGACTTGGTTTGCAATTAATTTGGACTAAACTGGGAATGAAGTAATTCTCAGATGTTATAATAAAATAGGTTTGTTTGGGACTAATTGTGACTAATAAGTGAGCCTAGGTCACAACACGAGGCTGTGAGAGAGCGATGGAGAGGATGTATGGGTAGCATGGGAAGGGTTGGGGAGGGTGAGAGAGAGGCCTGACAAAGGTTGGGGTGGATACAAATGGCTTGTATAGCGCAAGAGCAAAGGAGCTGGGAGAGGGTGCACAACTGGGGGAGACTTCACCCAGCAACTTCCAAACTTCCCTGCTGGTTTCCCCATTGACTTTCTGGGGAAGCCAGAAGGAAAAGTTGCAAATGACAATTACACGATCATGGGGCACTGTAACTGCTTGTAATTGCAAGCTGGTTGCCAAGCACCCAGATCACGCTCATGTGGAGTTCCAAGGACCAGTCATAACCATTATGCATTCAATGCTGTTGTAACTTTGAATGGGGGACTGAATGGTCAAAAGTCAAGAAATACATGTGCAAACAGAAAGGTATTTGGATCAAGGGCAAAATTCTCCTTACCTGAGATTTCTTCATTTGGCCCATCACTTTGCCCAAATCTTCAACATCCACAACCTGATCTGCACCTCTACCATTCTCTATATCAGATTCCTCCTCGCTTGTGGTTTCAAAGAAATCCTCCTCCTGACATGCAAAACAAGGAAAGAGAAAGCACAAGCCATGTTTCCATTCTCTAGTTAATGAGTTATCAACTGAGTTGTCCTTATGTCCAGCACTGACACTCTTTGATGCCTTCCCCAGAAAGTGGTCAGAAGTCTGTCTAGCAACAACCAGTATAATACAACTCATAAAGACATAGGCCTGGAGGAGACAAATTCAAAATCTACCTGTTCCATGGGTCATAAAACTCAGAAAATTTAAAATAAATCTTGAAGGATCTCTAAGGTATAATGTGGTTTGTCTGATTTTTGGATTAGAAAACTATATGAATCAATCATAATGGTTGCTATACAATGATTTCTGTCTTAGTATGAACAGGAGCCAGGGGTGAAATTCAGCAGGTTCTGACAGGTTCTGGAGAACTGGTAGTGGAAATTTTGAGCAGTTCGGAGAACCGATAGCGGAAATTTTGAGTAGTTCGGAGAACCAGCAAATACCACCTCTGACTAGCCCCAGAGTGGGGTGGGAATGGAGATTTCACAATATCCTTCCCCCAGGAGTGGGGAGGGAATGGGGATTTTGCAGTATCCTTCCCCTGGAGTGGGGTGGGAATGGAGATTTTGCAGTATCCTTCCCCTGAAGTGGGGTGGGAATGGAGATTTTGCAGTATCCTTCCCCAGCCATGCCCATCAAGCCATGCCCATAGAACCGGTAGTACAAAAAAATGGATTTCACCACTGATACGAGCCCAACCAACTCTGATTTAGCATGCAAAGTGTATAGCATGTAGTAAACCCAGCTACAATGAAGCATTTACGAAGGTTCCCACTACCGAACAATTTCTTGAGTGAAGCAAACTATCAGTTTGACTGGCAGGAAAAACATTAGAGAGTAAAAGAAATTGTGGGATAGGAACAAAGGCATGGAGAGAGACTGAAGGATGGTAAAATGAGTATGAAGAACATCAGATATCTGTTAGAGCAGGGGTGTCAAGCTGGCAGTCCGTGGGCCAGATGCATCACACACAAGCCAAGCCCACCCCTGCTCCGTAAAGGCAAAAAAATGTTGTGATATGTCACATGAGACGATTAAGTTTGACACATGTGTGTTAGAGACTCTTTAAGCAGGATTCCTGGTATTGAGCAGGATTGGAATCAGCACCTAAATAATCCGTTTTTTGGGAAGTTTGATTCTACTGCAGTAAAAAAGAGGAAAAAATAAGAAACTTGTTCACTGGAACAAGTGAACGAAGAAGATAAATACTGGAGCACAAAGGAAATGGAGGAAGCGTGAATAGCAAAAAAAAAGATGGAGAAAATTCTCACACTTATGGAACCATTGTGCTGCCCAAAAGAAGGGTAAAAAAAGATCCTAGTTTGTTCTGTAATACATATAGATAGATATGAGGTTCATCACATAAAAGCAGCAACAGAGTCAAAATCATAGAGTTCTATCAGTCCTCTCCACTTACGTCTTTCTCCACATGATTTGAGGTCTCTTGTTCTTTTGCTTCTTGGCTCACTTTTGATTTGGATCTACATGGCCCTTTTTTGCATTTCCCACTACAGGCCTTCTGTTCCCCTTTGGCAAGAGCTTGAAGCCTCGTGAGCAACTTGACCTTCCAAACCTCAAAATCAGCCTCAATGCTTCCATGTTGGCTTTTCACCACATTGCCATCCCCTCGAGCGCATGACAGAATGCGTCGAGCACCCAGCATCCATAGCCACTTGTCAACGTTCCTGCTCACCTGTAGGGAAAACAAGAGGCAGAGAGGCAATGTTTGGGTCATAAAAGGCAAGAGATGCTAATCATAATGGGCATATTTGGAAAGCTTCAAATTCAGAGGAATCTGTCCCACCTCCTTCCTTCTTCCTGTATCACTTCCATCACCCCTTTTGTCTCTAAACCCACAAGAAGAGCCACCATATTAAATAGCAGACTCGGGAGAAGTATTAGAGGAAGTAACTAGAGAATCAAACAGAATACACACATTTTTCTATCTGTCAAATGTAAAGATGCCACTAATCCAACATCTAAGACAGGGGTGTCAAACTCAAGGCCCAGGGGCTGGATCCAGCCTGCCTGATGCTTAGATGTGGCCCGCCAGGCTACCCTAAAAACAGCAAAGGACCAGGCCGTGGTGCCTCTGCCAGAGAAAACGGAGCTCGGGAGGGCCGTGTGTGTCCCTCCTGAGCTCCATTTTCCCTGGCAGAGGGTTGCAGGAGGCCAGGCCAGCCGAAAATGGAGCTCGCAAGGGCTATGCGCAGATCCCCCAAGCTCCATTTTTGTTAGCAGAGGGTTTCAGGCGGCCAGGCCAGCTGAAAATGGAGTTTTTGAGGGCCACGCACAGCCCCTCCCCCAGCTCCGTTTTCACCGGCAGAGGCTTGCAGTAGGCCGTTGCAGCCGAAAATGGAGCTCGGGAGCCCGTTTTCGCTGACAGAGCCCTTGGGCCACCACAGGTGCCCCAACATGAGTGACATCAAGCTGGCCACACACACTCTGGCCACACACACCCGGCCCACACGAGGTCAAACACAACCCTGATGCGGCCCTCAATGAAATTGAGCTTGACACCCCTGATCTAAGACAGTCACTACTGGATATCTCATAGTCAGAGTGACAAAGTAGTGAAAAAATACTCTTCTGGCTACATAACTTTTTTTTTCAGCTATCCTTCTAACCTGTAATTTCACCACATGTTCTTTAAAGTGAAAATAATGTTCATGCTCCACTATTATATTTCATGGCTTTCCTCTGACTCCATATAATTTTTTATATTTGTCACTTGTTGAAAAGGAGAAGATACTGAAATATCACCTGATTTGCTTTACAACCATTGTAGAAATGGTTGTAAAATTGACACTATAGTCCTATAGTGTTTTGACTTATGACCACAATGACAACTACAATTTTGAGCTCCACAGTGGTCGTAACTTGAGAAAAAACTGTATCATAACATGCACAGATGTGTTGTTGTTTTTTTTTAAAAAAGGGAAAGCCATACTCACAGTGTTGAAGTGGTCAGCATACACTGAATTTCCCAAACCGAAGACAGCGTATCGCAAGCCCTTCAGGTATGCCTTGCCAACTCTGAAGTCATTGGCCGCCTCTTCCAGCCACTTGCAGAACCATGCAGCATTTTCTGTTGGTTTGCCGTCAGTGTAAGTGGCAACTAAGAACATGCAGATATTCTGGCTGCTTATCTGAACAGTTAAAGGAAAACAGTTTTTTTTTTGTCTATCATAACATTTAAATCAACCACAGTTCTTTACTATTCATAGTAAAAAAAAAAAAGAAATGCCAAAATTTCATTCAAAGTATCTCATCTTTGAAGAGCTTGGCTCTAACATCAGATGAAAGGAATTCTTCTCACTCATTCCTTCTCAGATTCTGCATGCCACTAAAGGATATGAAACTATTAACTGTTCGATATATTATTAGTATGACATTTTTCATGCAAAGAAGACGTTTTGTAGCCTTTTTCTCCTCAAATTCTCCTAAATAACTTCACTATTTGGAATATTATTCTCTTTTGATGGAAGATAGACCATTCTGGAGAAGGTCTATCAGGTCACTAAGAGTTGATACTTACTTGAGGATATATTCAAACAATTAAAATGTTATTTTGTTATTGCTGTTAACCATTAGGACATTGATTCTGTCATCTGTCTCTGTCTAATCTGTCCATCTGAAATCAACCATACTTTAGGCAATTTACAAAATTTACATAGTAAAAACAGAATATAGGTTTAGAATAAAATTAAAACAACAGCTAGAGATAAAAGGCTACATTTATAGAACTATGGAAAATGGCTCTACTGTATATAGTTAATCAAAAAGTTCCTCTAGAAGAGCTATTTTTTCTCCTGTATATGGAAGACCATAAGGCTGGAGGTAATTGCTGTTTCAGGGCCATGTTATACCAAAGGTAGGGTACTGCTATAGAAAATGTCACTATTGCCCACCACAATACTTCTTGGGAGATATGGATTCTTAACAAGCTTCCCTTGATGTCTAGGTAGTATGGACAGAAACTAATATGGTAAAACAGTCCCCAAGCTCAGAGTCATATATGGCTTTAGTGACTAGCACTTTAAATTGCATTTGGAAATCTACTGGTAATGGTACAGCTCCCGAAGCAGAGGTATAATATACCAATAATGTAACTGAGTATGTATACCAATGCCTTCTGGATCACATGAAATTTTGGTGTGGTTTCAAGGCAGCCTCCCATAGATCAAATTGCAGTAATCTAATAGAGAGGCTCAGTTTGTTTAAGGCACTGTGCTAAAAATGAAGGGATTCAGAATTCTAATTCTACCTTAGGCACAAATTCAGTGGGATGACTTTGGGCTGGTCATTTTTTTTTTCAACCCTAAGAAGAAAGCAATGGAAACCATTTCTGAAAAAATTGCCAAGAAAACTGCATGGATTTGTCTAGGCAATTGCCAGGAGTCAAAATTGACCTGAAGACAAAACAAAACAAAAAGATAATAAAGGCATAAACAACCATCCTCAGTTCATTCAGTTCCGAGCAAGGCCTCAGGTGATGCACCACCCACAGCTCTCCTGGCCACAGTTTTTACTTGCTCTTAAAGCAGGAGCCATCAAACCATGAGGACCCATAGATGTCATTCTGGCTAGAAGAGATGAAGTACAAACCTCATCTATGAGAGAGTCATCTGGATCATAATCTTGCATGTCAATAATTTCTGCTGGCAAATTAATGGAGGCAACAGCTTCAGTAAGTACCAGTGCAAACCGCTAGAGACAAAGAAAAAAACAGTGAAGATCTGTTTCATACAAAAAAGCCACACTAGGTGATTCATTGATTGATCTATGAAGGAGAAATTGCTTCAGTCTTATCTCTTGCAATTTTTTAAAGAGGTTCTTGGGTGCAAAGCAGGGAGATTTCAGGGTTTAGCACTGAAACAGCAGCTTGGTCTCACACATAATCCCCACCACTATTTAAGAACTGCAGACATCAGGAGAAAACCAAGAAGACCAAAACCTTAGAGGCTGCTTCCAGTATTTGACAGTGGGAAAGCACTGAAATGGGTGGACTCCAGCAGCTCTTGTGATTGAAGATGCCCATACATAAACATTAATGTATCTAAACTGGAAGGAAAAATCTCCACTCTGAACTGGACTCGGAAGGACTTGGAGGGGGAGCTCACAAAAGCAGAGATGGGCAACCTGCCACACGCAACCTCTCAAATCTTTGGGCGTAATTCCTTATCAAAAATCAACAATAATGTCTTTCAAATGGAAAAATTCTAAGATTACAGTGTACCCTCTAAAAATAGGCTTACCACAATGAAAAGAAAACACAACTCTCTCCACAATCCTAAAATTCCATTACTCTCCATGCTATCTATGATCAGCCACACACACTTTGCTTATCAATCTTATACTGTGGCCCTTTTCCTCTTATTCTTGCTAGAAAGAGACAGAAATGTGGCTCTCCAATAGGACCCTGAAAACTCTGTGCACCACCATGTTGGTTTGCTGAATAGTTCAGGATACTGTTCTGTGGTCTGATACAGGACAACTGCTACATATGCCCAAAAGGGTACTTTATTCCTCAATTAAAATCCCAGTGAGCTTGGATGAAAAAAGAGTTATTAGCTGAAAATTATTTGGACAGTGTTGAATGAGGATTTGAACTGTAATCTCTGTACTGCAAATCTAATACTGGAAATGCTACATGACACTTGTAATTTCAAGCATTGGTTGTAGCAGCCAAGAAACTTTTCATTTTGATCCAGTTGTTGAGTATAACTACTCACCACTTAAGGAAACATTGGACTTAAATTTCCTTTCTTGTCTTTTCTCCACTATTACTACCACTTTACTGCACCCCAAAACAATCTCATATTCAAATTATTTCTTTATAAGTAACAGATTTTCAGCTCTCAAATTAGGATAAAAAAGGGCCAAGCTCTGGAGATAGGAATTAGCCAAAAACATATCTGAGTATGCTTTTTTTCTCCTGAAAATGGTCAATTACCTCTATTCAACGAAAGGAGAAAAAAAGATATGGTTGCAAGATAAATTAATTCATCTCTTGCTGGATTAATGAACTATTTACCTTTGCTGTTCCAGTCTGGGAACCATAGAATACCTTCACTCCGGCTACATGGACTTTGCCAAGGCTTGGATCCTGCTGTTCTTTTTCAGCAGCTGGGATTTTAGGAAGGTTTAATTCTGCAAGGCGGTTTTTGTTCTACAAAGGAAATATTTAAACAACAGAGGCCCAGAAATATACTTAGTCTCTTTTTTTCCTGATGCCATTAAATAGTCACTTTACCCCTCAACGCAGTTGATGTACAAGTTAGAAAGCATTATCTAAGAAAGTTTTCTCTTTCAGAGGAATACATCCTGTACCTGAACAAGAGAAATTAAATAGCCGGGCAAGAAATATCATCCAATAATACTGAGAGGATAACATATCAATTTGTCATTACTGAACATCCTCATAACATTTGTATTTTACCCTAATCCTGGCTCTCTGTTTGCCAAAATCATGTCATTCCAGATATTCTATGTACCAGATAATTTACCATATATATATACTATTCTATAAATAGATTTCATTCCCTGGAGAGAAAAAAAACAATAAACTACAACTACTGTATACTTGTGTAGTTTGCCTCAAAGAGTTTAATTTCTGAATAAACCTGCAGAAGATAGTAGTACATTTTTGATGGGAAGAATTTGCCCCCTTTGGGATGCAAATACTTTCTGGATTTTTTGCTACTGAATGTTTCTTAATCTCTCAACTGCTTGAGCACTCAGGAGGCCACAACCACAGAGATTCCATCGTCTTTCCATCAAGGTTGAAGTTACCAGAATTAAAAATATTAGACACAATGAGAATAAAATTACCTGCTCTTTGGCTTTGTTGAGGAACTGGAAGCAAAACCAAAGGCTGATTCCAAAAGCTGCACATGAATAGAGGTAAAATCGGTTCAGCCAAAGGAAAGTTAAGTGAGCATGGAGATTGTCCCAGGTTTCTGCAGGAGTATCTGAAACACAACAGAATAAAATGCTATTGTTTATAAAAGCCAGATATCAGGATTAATGGAAATTTGCTCTCTGGTAAACATGCGTCAGACCAAATTAAAAGTGGCAGAATCATTGTAACAATCTTAGAACTGTATTGCTTGGCAGGGACATCAAATCCAACAAGCTGTTCAACTCAGGAGCCAAAATTAAAGTATCTCAGATACATGTTACTAAAACATCAATTGCCATTCCTTCAACCTTTCTTTACAGGACTTAATTTCTAGTCTCCTGGTCATTTTTCTTGACTTTCTCTGAACCTGCTCAAAGTTCTCTGAATCCTTCTCAAAGTGTGATACCCACTTTGGGTATCCTTTTACACAGCCTTTTACAGTATTTTAGAGCAATGATCTGACCATAGCAGAAAAGAATGGAACAATTATTTAATATGATTTAGAAATTCAGTTTCTGTTGATGCAGTCCTAAAATTGCATGTGCCTCCATGTCAGCAACCTCAAGTTGCTTGCTCATATTCCATTTGCAATCAATTACTATACCCAGATATTTTTCCATCATCTGGTATCATCTGTAAGTCATATCCTCAGTGAGATCAAAAAGAAGCACGATGATTGCAGCTTTGTCAAAACCATACTATTTTTATATGTGTACTGATGTCAAATGCACATACAAAAGATTGGGGCTTCAATCATACTGCCGCTTGAGTTTTTCATTTTTGTTTCCTAAGTAATTATCAGTAGAGCATCCATTGTGGGCCCTGCTAGATATTTGACATCAACAGCTTTTAGGGGGATAGGATCCATGCTGTGCTGATTGGTTTATTATAATATTTTTATATATTTGAGATAAGCAGCCATATAAATTGAATAAATAAATATGAAATAAAGTGCCACTAGAGCTCTGTCATAATGTACTTAGGTTTGACCATACTGTTGGGTTTTCTTGTGTTTTATATTTTTAGTTACGCTTGTACTATTATTTTTACTGTACTTTTGTAAGCCATCCAGAGCCATTACAGGAATAAGAAAAATATAATTTTTATAAATTAATATTTCCTAATTAAGGAAGAGTCAATACATTTTGACAGGGGGAGTGCAAGGTCACGAGTGAATACTTGTGCGAAAATGTCACAAGTACGTTTTCTTAAATTTCACGCAATGTTTAAGTAAACCTTGCAAAATCGTCCTATTTATTTTCACAGGAAACTTTCCACCGCGGCCCTTGCCCAACCAGACTTCCAAGTAAACCGTGTTCATTTTCTATGGAAATGATAGAAACTCGTGGCTTTTTAGATCCTGAATCTTCAGCGCGCTCCAGGACTTCCGTGTGAATAAAATACGCTAAAGGTTTAAGGATCCGTCGCTTGTCAAAAACCTTTGCATGCTTTCTGGAGAATAAACCGCATCTAAGCCCAATAAGGCTCCCTTCACAATTAAGGAAGTTTTTTTCGCCTCCGAGGACTTACCCATGTCTTCCCTTCCAAGCAGCAATTCCCGATCCTACCGAACAATGTTTTTCTGGTTCTCTCGGGATCGCTTCGGGAGGGGGGGGTTATTCCCAAGCAGCCCCATCACTCGCCCCACGAGCTCCCAGGCGCAGCCATTTTGCACCCTTCCACCCCCGGCATGCTGGGAAGAGGACATTAACCTCTCAGTGGCTGAAAAGAAAGTCCCCCCTCCTCCTCCAGCATCGGTGATCGCTGCAAAATTCTCTCCCTCCGAAGCGTGCGTGTTTTTAATCAAGAAATAAAGAAGCATCTTCCGCTTCCAGAATCGAGTGTATCGGAGAGTTTGAGAGGAGATTCGAAAATCCATGCATTTAAAAATAACACGGATCCTAAATGCTTCACGTTGGAATGGGGGGGGGAGGGGGAGACATTGAGCCATGGATGGTTTTAAAGAATTCTATTCTATTTTATTCTATTCTATTCCTAATTCTATTCCTATTCTTTTCTATTCCCTTTCTATTCCTCTTCTTCCTCTTCTATTCTATTCTATTCTATTCTATCCTATTCCTATTCTATTCCTATTCCTAATTCTATTTCTATTCCCTTTCTATTCCTCTTCCTCTTCCTCTTCCTCTTCCTCTTCCTTATTCTATTCTATTCTATTCTATTCTATTCTATTCTATTCTATTCTATTCTATTCTATTCCATTCCATTCCATTCCATTCCTATTTCCATTCCATTCCCTTCTATTTTATTCTATTCTATAGCCTTCTGGGTCTGGGGGGGGGGGGTTATGAACAAACCGCAACTGGCTAGTACATTGAAACAATTTAAACTCGAATGAAGGTGAATATACGTTTCCCCAGGATAATGTTGCAGGATCCGATCTGGGTCGATCACCCGGACCAGAGGTTTAGTTTTCCAAGCTTTCGGACTCACGCTGGAGCCCCTCCTCAGGGAATTTCTCTATAGCAGAGTGTGGGCCTCTGGCAAGAAAACTAAACCTCTAGTCCCGGTGACCGACTGAGACCCGGCACAATTTAAACAAAACTATGTTTAAACACTATTATATAAATGCGCACAGCGACAAGTCCAAGATCATCAGTTCAAGGATTTGAAGACAATTCTTCCCAAGCAACGGTGCTGGCTATTTATTTTGGGGGGGGGGTTTGTGTGTTTTTTGTTAAAAAAAACTAAAAACAATCTGTGCTACTTGCATTTTTTGATCAAACCTCCGCAAAAAAGGAGTCAGATTTGTAAACCTCGGTTTTTTTGTGCGGTCCCTCTTGGTAAGCCCAGAGAGGACACTTTTCAACGAGGAATCATTATTCCTCGGGATTGGTTTCCCACCCGACTGAGTTAAGGACGGACTTTTGGAGAGCCGGTTCTCGCGAGATTTTGGTCACGTGTGTCGTCACAACGGAGCTTGCGGCAGAGATTCAGCTGTTGGCTTCTATCCTGTCCAGCGGCGGCCGATACTTGGAGCGTCATGGCGATCTTCACGCCGACCAACCAGATTCGCCTGACCAATGTGGCCGTCGTGCGGATCCGGCGGGCGGGGAAGCGTTTTGAGATTGCCTGTTATCGGAACAAAGTCATGGGCTGGCGGAGCGGCGCGTGAGTGGGGCTGGGGCCGCAGGGAGAGGAACGGCAAACTCCCGTCTTGTCCGCTGACATTTGACAAAGCCAGAGCTCCCTCGTTTACACAGTGCGAGACTAGCCTAAATAAATAATCAGTCAATAAATCCAGGGTTGGTTCCTTCCCCCCCCCCCAAATTTTGCAACTCCTCTAAATTAGCAGCTTGGCTAAAAATATTTACTTTTAAGCATGTGCAAATTGCAGGGCTTAAACTCTAACCACGTTTCTGTTATAAATCAACTACAGTATTTACACTTCCGTATTTATTTATTTATTTTTCAAATTTATATGCCACCCTTCTCCCGTAGGACTCGGGGCGGCTCACAAAATAAAAACAACACAACAATCTTAAGTGCTAAAATTAGTCAATTAAAAACCCCAGACAATTAAAAAACCTCGCGGCAGATCAGGGAATTTGCTGAAAAAGCCATGTCTTCAGCTCGGCGCGGAAAGTGCGGAGGTCAGGGGCCATCCGGAGCCCGGTGGGTAACACATTCCAGAGGGTCGGTGTGGCCACAGAGAACGCCCTCATCCAGGGGACATTGTCTGGCCGACGGCACCCAAAGGAGGGCAGTCCTATGTGAGCGCACTGGGCGGTGGGAGGCCGGTAGGAGATGGTCCTGCAAGTACCCCGGGCCCATGCCATGAAGGGCTTTATAGGTAAGTACCAGCACCTTGAAGCGGATCCGAAGGGCCACTGGCAGCCAGTGCAGCTCACGCAGGAGAGGTGTTACATGAGAGTAGCGGGAAGCTCCCGTAACAACCTGTGCGGCCGCATTCTGGACCAGATGGAGCCTCCGGGTGCACCCCAAGGGCAGCCCCATGTAGAGGGAATTGCAGTAATCCAACCGAGAAATGATGAGAGCATGAGTGACTGTGCAGAGGGCATCCCTGTTTAGGAAAGGGTGTAACCAGCGCACCAGCCCCCCCTTGTCACGGCTGTCAGATGATCCACTAAGGACAGCCATGAGTCAAGGAGGACGCCAAGATTACGAACCCTTTCGAAGGGAGTAAGCAACTCCCTCCCCATCCAAAGTGATGGGGATACTAGATCACGAGATGCCGGTAGCCACAGCCACAGCCACTCAGTCTTGGAGGGGTTGAGTCTGAGCCTGTTGCTACCCATCCAGACCTGTACCGTCTCCAGGCACTTAGATATCACGGAGAGATCCCTGGGTTGATCGTATTCATCTTATTTATTTAAGTAGTGTCTGCTAACTGCAGTTCCTGGAACAACATTAACACAGAGTAGTATGATAAAGAATAAGGAAATAGATCAGAAGGGCTTAGTATAGAATGTACTATACATCCCCTGATAATAAGCCCAATTGGGCTTTTGAGCGCATGGCAATAAGGCCAAGCGCTTATTTCAGGGTTCAAAAAAATATAAGACAGGGAAACATGGTATATATGTATATATGTGTGTGTGTATACACACTATACATAGTATAGAATAAAATGAATGTTAAGTATTATTTCAATTTATATAGCTGCCCATCAGTGACATGAAAAAAATGCTTCTAAAGCTTGAGATAAATTGATATCCTATTTCTTTTGGCACTGACCAAGGGCTGCCCCAGTTACAGTAAATGGAGTCATCTTTCAGAACAGATTTCAGTCACTAAGCAGTCACATAAACCTTCCTTATTTTGAGCTCTCAGACTAGAGAGACAAGTTGTTACATATCATTAGCTCAATAGAGAAGTTTCATGAACCTCCCTTCAGCTGAAAACGGGCAGAATTTATTATATGTATTCTTGGGAGTTTTACAACTTGCCAGCAAACAAGAAAGTGTTCATACACTGCCTCCTGTTTATTAGTAAGTGGTGAAAATATCCTGCTCATTTAATTGTGTTATAAAAATAAAGAATAAAACACTACTGAGCCACTGCAAAAGGTATAGGCAAATTTAAGCCTTCTGCACTTCCTTTCTGATCTTGTTTCACCACACAGTCACATGTACCATGAGCGTGAGAGAACAAAGCAGCTGGAACTGCCCCATGTTTTACCCACATCCCCATATATGTGCTAGAAACTGGGAAAAATGACAATTTCAAAGTAGCTTCTTTCAAAGCTGGATGGAATGCAGGACAAAGTAAATAAATGATTAACATAGGGAACAAAATATGATGAAGGTGCTTTGTCTTAACCATGTTTTGTTCTAGTTTTATACAATACGCAACTCTTTAAATAATTTGCCTTAGTTATGTGAATGTACCCTTTTCAAAATTGTCATCCTTCTCACAGTTATGATAAAGAATTTTATGACATAGAACTCACTCCCAAGTAAAGAATAATGTAAACTTTTGTTTAAATAATGTAGGTTTCTATTCCCCTGTTTGCATTGCAAACCAAAAAATATAAATCTGTGCAATGTATTTATTGCCTTGTAACATCTAGCCCGTCCCTCTACACTTCTTCCAGGGCAAGAATTTTCAAGAGGTCCTCTTTGGAAAACTTAATGGGTAGATTTGGTTTTGAAAAGACATATGGCTTTGAAGGAAATAATCAACATTTTGAATTAGGTCTGGACTTAGACTTATATACCCATTCACAGTGCTTTACAGCCCTCTCTAAACAGTTTACAGAGTCACCATATTGTCCCCAACAATTTGGATCCTCGTTTTACTTACCATGAAGGATGAAAGGCTGAGTCAACCTTGAGCCAATCAGGATCAAACTGCCGGCAGTCGGCAGGGTTAGTCTGCAATATTGCATTCTAACCACTGCACCACTGCAGCTCAGTGGTTAGAATGCAGTGGTTAAAATGGAAACTAGCAACCAGTACAGAATGGTATACTGACAAGGTAGTCTCACAACATGTAACTTTGAATTCATTCCCACATAGCCCAACGATCAGTACATGAGATACTGCCTTCAGGGCATCTTGGTTTAAGTAGTGTTGAAGCTGCAGCACTTAACCAAATTTGGGTGAAGCTACTAAAACCATATCTTCAACCTGCTGCTTGAACAGGAGCTGCAAATTACAATCATCTCTTTCAATGGAGGCACAACCCCACTAAGTAATTACTGAGTTAATATGGCTCAGCTCAGGATGGCTACCTGTTTACTGGTAAATAGCAGATAGGACTTAGCCTTTGGACTAGTATTGCTTTCTTTAACTAATATTTTTAGCTGATTACAACTGTTGCTTGACAATATGTCATTGCCACTTGAGATAGAACTCTGCAATTATTCACTACAGTATCCTGCTTATGGAATGTAGCAGTTTAATTTGATTCCCCTGCCATTATAATAGAATCAAAGGTAGTTTTAAAGAGCAGTAATCAATATAGGTTAAACAAGACTTATCTAAATATTTTGGTTGTTTGCATGCATGATTTAGAATTTTGCTTAACAAGTAAAATTAATTTTCTAGTGAAAAGGACCTTGATGAAGTATTGCAGACACATTCAGTGTTTGTGAATGTCTCCAAAGGTCAAGTGGCAAAGAAGGAAGACCTTGTCAAAGCTTTTGGCACAGATGATCAGACGGAAATCTGCAAAACAGTAGGTATTGAAATTGTGCGAAAGTAATGTTTTTTGTCTAATTTTATCTTCAACTTTTTAAAGGCAATTCAAACAATATATCAGAAAAAATAGATAGTAGAAGTATAATCCCTTTATGTGTTTAGGTCAGCCTTGGATCAGTGTTCAGGGTAGGGGTCCCCAACCCCTGGTCTGTGGACCAGCACTGGGCCGCAACATGCCAGCAACTGGGCCACAGAAACAAGCGAAGCTCCATCTGTGGAATGCAGGCAGCACATAAAACAATGCCCCCTCTGGTCCGTGGAAAACCTTTCTCTACAGAACCAGTCCCTGGTGCCCTTTAAAAGGTTCTAGTCCAATGCTATAGTACACTGACCCTTTTTTAAATATTTCAGAAATTGAACTCAAGCAAAAAAAACATTTCTTTCATGGCTTCATCCCATATTGCTTGTTCTATGAGAAGGTTAAAATATTATGCAGTTTATGCTCTGATTTAAAGATTCGGTCTTCCATAGCCTTGTTGATATTATTATTAATTAATTTGTTTGCCTCCCATCTGCAAAGCAGCTCTTATGGTTAACAGTCAATGCTCATTTTACATTTATTCTTAATAGCAGTGCTTACTCAGCCTTGAATCATTGCCAAACGTTAACAGGGCAAATGCTGCTTAGTACTTGGATGGGAGAGTATTAGGAGGTTTCAGATTGTACAGTAGGCTGGGAAGACAAAATCCTGAAAGAATGACAAACCTGGAAAAGCTCCTGCAGTTTTCTTGACAAGGCTTTTCAAAAGTGGTTTGCCATTGCCTCCTTCATAGGGCTGAAAGAAAGTGACTGGCCCAAGACAGTCTGTATTACTGCTCCCAAAACTATACAGACATCTCCATGTAATAACCAAGGGTGAAACTTAATATGAAGAACTCAGTATTTCTACTTTGTAATTTGCAGAGATTCTTTAGGACAGCCGTTCTTCTAAGGTTTATAAACAGTCTAGAAAGCTGAATCAGAATTCTGATGACAATGCATAAAACATCTTCTGAATTTGGAAAAGCCGAGTCCTAATAAACTTTTCTTCGTTTCAGATCCTAACCAAAGGGGAATTGCAGGTCTCTGATAAAGAACGCCACACTCAGCTGGAGCAGATGTTTCGTGACATTGCAACCATTGTTGCAGACAAATGTGTCAATCCAGAAACCAAGAGACCCTACACAGTCATCCTTATTGAAAGAGCTATGAAGGATATACATTATTCAGTCAAGCCTGGGAAAAGTACCAAGCAGCAGGTAGATAATCTCCGAAGGAGGCCACTTTGTGCCTACAAATTCTAAGCATGAGGAGACACTGTAGTTTTTCTCTTTACAGGTAGTTCTCAACTTATGATTAGTCACTTAATGGCAGTTCAAACAATAGTTGAAAATTAGGACATGTTTGGAATGGGTGTTTTACTGCCTCTAAAATACTTCTGGCCATCATAAAATGTGCCCCACACTCAATACATGGTCATGCAATCACATTTCAAGCACTTGACACCAGGTTAGATGGGTACATGATTTTAGGACCATGATGACTTATGCCCTGAAATCCAGTCCCAATTGCAATCATACGTTGAGGGCTACCTGTACTAATTTGAAGTAACAGGAAATACCCTGTTTCCCCCAAAATAAGACATCCCCTGATAATAAGCCCAACCGGGCTTTTGAGCACATGGCAATAAGGCCAAGTGCTTATTTCAGGGTTCAAAAAAATATAAAACAGGGTCTTATTTTCGGGAAAACACGGTACCTGATCATCTGGCTTGAGTTGACTTGTCACCAAATAAACAGGCAAGATGTTTGTTTTTTTTTAAAGTTGCTTCTTTTTCTCTTCTGCAGATTCCTGAAGGATGCTTAAATCCATAGATTGATAACATTAATTGTGCATTCCATTTTGTAAAATTTCTTGCAATGTCTCTTTTTAACGCAGTACTGTGCCAATCATTGTATGTCTGCATATTTTCGAACTCAGCGTTTTTAAATCCTGAAGATATTAATTCTGGAAAATATTAAAATTTCCATCATACAAACTAAGCCTTTACTTATGAGAAAGTAAAACCACTTGGGTATAGTGGAGAAACTGCACAGAAAACAGTAACAGTCCTGCAACATCTAAAAATCAAAACTGTATTGCTATCCTTTGTCAGATACAGCTGTCAAGATAGTAAGTGGGTGTCAACGGGAAGAGAGTTTCATAAAGTTGAAATCATTGCAAGAAAGATCATTATCTATTTCCAACTTGTTTTGCCTGTCTCACAATAAGGATTAAGGCCAAGTGGACTCTCATTTGGAGGCATAATCTAAAATTATTCTACAACATGACCAAGTACTATAAAATACCGTAATATTCTGGCACCAATGATTCCACCAACAATTCGATCTCCATATTTCTTTTTTAAAAAGGCAAGTTCTCCTTAGCTTTTAGAAGGACATAAGAGTAGAATCTACTCTTGCCTCACAAGTCAGGTTGGTGCAAAGGAAGAATGCTTCCCATCTCACAATTGGAGGGGATGTTCAGCTGGTCATCTGCTTTCACTAGGCAGAATCTAAGAAGAGCAGATGTAGGCTGCAGGCCGTATAGAGCTTTATAGAGAATGTCCAGCAGTTTGAATTGCACTTGGAAATAAACTGGTAACCAGTGGAGCTCCACTAACAACCGTCTAATGTGGCTGTACCACAGTTGTTAAGCAAACAAGCAAACCACAGCATTTTGGACCACTTTAACTTTCTGGATGATCTTAAAGGGCAACCCCATGTAGAATGAATTATAGCAATGCTTAGGTGCTGTATTAAGTACTGCTGTACTTCTCGTGCTTGCAATGCAATTCTTACTTCTGAAAAAGCAAGAGGTCTTCTCACCAGCTCCATTTGACTGAATGGAAGATTGCCCTGCTGGTTAGTTTTGGATATAAAAAGTATGCTCAGGAGAACAATTCTCAGCCAAACAAATGTCATATATGGCTAAAAGTATGAAATCAGAAGTGAAGAGACTATGTTTTTCCAGGTTTTTTTCCCCAAGGGGAGCAGGATAACAATGTAAAAATCAGTGCTTTGGTTTGGATTCCTCTGCAGGCTTTGGAAGTCATCAAGCAGCTGAAGGAGACGATGCAGATTGAGCGGGCACACATGAGGCTACGCTTCATCCTCCCTCGGAAAGAAGGCAAGAGATTGAAAGAGAAGTTGAAGCCACTGATCAAAGTAATCGAAAGTGAGGATTTTGATGAACAGCTGGAAATTGTAAGCATCCCAGTGTCCTTTCCCTGGTCTTTTTGTTTGGGGAAAAAACTATTACTGTCCCTTTTTTTTTATACAAGAAGGTTTATACTCGATGTGTTGGAGGGTAGAAATAAGGACTGAACTTTACACTGCAGTTATTTTCATGATTGCTCATGAAGGAAACCTCACTAGTTCTTGCAGAAGATGTTTTAAAATGCATTGGGATAAATATGCAGCCGTAAGGCAGTTCGGTATATGAGCATTTAAGACATCAGCAAAAGACAGGAATGCTGCAAAGATTTCAATGTGACACCATCTGCACTTCCCTTTTCTTCTTTTTTTTTTATTGAAAAAGTTTTTCAAATACAAATTTTCCCCCTTTTTCCCCCCCCTCCTCCCTAACCCCCCCTCACCACCCCTCCCCCTGTGACTTCTACAAAATAAAATCCAGATTCATAACAGATTATATAATACTTTACCATCCCCTTACTCCATCCCCCTAATACTTTTCTTCTAATTCAAAAGAATTTGGCAACTTTCAGTGAATTGCAGTCTGGGTTTTTAACGTAGTTGGGTAGAAGTGCAATATATAGATATTCCAGTCCAATTTAATGTTCTTTCTCCATTCCATTTAAAAAATACCTTGGTAAAACCTCTAAAAGGGGCAAATCAGAATACCCACAGGATTATAACACTTTTTTGTGGGGGGCAGAACAGCTTTATGAAATTAACCATGGAATGGTGAAAACAGTGAGAGATGGTCTAATTATCACATTGCAAAAATTTGGAGTGACATGAAACTAGCAAGAAATTCAAAACAAGGAAATTTGTATAATATGCAAGTAGTTCTTGTTTAGTGACCACAGATGGAACCAGCAACCATTTAGTTGTTGAGTGGAGCAATCACTAAGCAAAACCGCAACTGTGCTTATGATCTTACTGCAGCTTCCTTTTGCTTTACAGACCTGCAAATGTTATAGCAATAGCTCTTAGACTTATATACCACTTCACAGTGCTTTACAGCCCTCTCTAAGCGTTTTACAGAGTCAGCATATTGCCCCCAGCAATCTGGGTCGTTATTTTACTGACCTCAGAAGGATGGAAAGCTGAGTCAACCTTGAGCTGGTGAGAGTTAAACTGCTAGCAGCCAGCAATCAGCATAAGCTTGCAGTATAAGCTTGCAGTATATACTGCATTCTAACCACTGCCCACCACAGCTCTTATACGTGCAAGGACTGGCCATAAAATTACTTTTTCATCAGTGTTGTAACAGCAAATGGTTGCTAAACAAGGGCTACTTGTATAACTTGCTATCACATCATCATACAAGTGATTTAGAAGATTTAAGAGGAGATCTAGCATATCCATAGAAAAGGGAGATTGTTAAATGGCTTTGCCCCATTAGAGCCAAACATCACCGAACTACAGTAGTGAGAGTAAAAGCAGAGGGATGGTCAGGGAGGTAATAGGAATAGAGGGATGGCTATCATTTTTATACCCTCGTTCTTGCAAGCATCTAGCTACAGGTATTCCTTGACTATGACCATTTGTTCAGCAACTGTTCTGAAGTTATGACAGTGCTGAACAAATGGTGGTTATGACCGGTCCTTAAGGACCGGTCTGAACATTCCGGAACCTCAGCAGTCATGTGATCGCAATCTGACTGCTTAGCATTGGGCTTGCCCTTTCAAGCAGTTGCAGCACCCCATGAATGCATGATTGCCATTTGTGACCTTCTCTGCCAGCTGTTGTGGCCTGCCAGTGGCCAGTGGAACTGGCAGCAGATTCTGAAAGTGAGGAGGTTGGGGAGGAACATGGGCCAATCCTGGAGTCTGGGGAAGGCTCTGATGAGGGCTCTGTGTCAGAGGCGCAGAGGGGGCCAGGGCCATATGCCAGCTATCAGCTGCCTTTGGAGTCAGTGAAGCAGACGAACAGCTGGAGCCTGTTCCCAGTGTGCGCATGCGCAGAGTTGCCAGACGGAGGGAACAACTAAAGAACAAGGGTCGACTTGGAAGTAAGGCCACAGGTGGACAATGAATGGCCCCTCCCATAGGAAATAAAAGAGGAGCAAAAGAGGAGTGGGCTTTTGTGGGAAACAATTTGGTCGGTCAGTCAGTGCAGGAGTGTGAAGATCTGTCTGTGAATCTCAGAGACTCTGTGCCAAGTCTTTCCTTGCACAGCACTGCGTTTGGAAAATATTTACATGGCAGCTTTCCAAGCTAGATAAGGTCTGTGGTCATATGTTCACCTTTGAAAGACTGGTTGCGAGGCCTTTGCTGAATGTGAATAAGAGGAATTCACATTCCGTTAATAAAAGGGGTTTTGTCGGGACCAGGATTCTGCTTCGTGCTTTTTTGGGGAAGCCAAGGTCAGAACACCAGCTTTTCCAGAAAGTCAATAGGAAAGCTGGTAGGGAAAGTCACAAGTCATTGGGATAAATCTTCCCCGCCCACATCCCCTGCCTGATTTCTGCCACGCCTCCTTCTCACACCCTCTCTGCACTTCCCTCACACCTTTGTGCAGCATCTCCAAGCTTTCCTCATGACTTTCCCCACTCGACAGCAACCACTTACCTGCCTACCAACCTACTTGCAAGCCACTTAGGACTTGCAACTTCCTGCCAGTTTTCCCAGTGACTTGGTTACTTAAAGGAAGTTCCCTTTCCTTATGACCATGGGAACGACAGCAATTGGGATGGCAAGGATTATCATTGCCAAGCGATGCAACCAAGCTTTATGACCGTATCACTTAGCAACAGAAAGTCCAGTCCCAATTGCTGTCATAAGTCAAGGACTACCTGTAAGTTACTTTGGGAAGAAAGATGATGGGTCCACCTTGGTCTTATTCAGCAGGGCAGTTCTATGTAAGAAATGGCCTTTCCAGTCTTAATACAGTGCTAATGTTGCAGGTGTGCCTTGTGGATCCAGGCTGCTTCCGGGAGATCGATGAATTGATCAGGTGTGAAACCAAAGGCAAAGGAACCCTTGAAGTTCTCAGCCTGAAAGATGTGGAAGAAGGTGATGAACGCCTGGAATAATTGGGTGCCTGTGGTGTCGCTTCGCAAAGACTGTATTAAAAGGCATCCTAGAGTTGCCTCATTGAGGATTGATCTTTGCTCTTTTCCATTTTGAGGGTTTATAAAGTTACCCTCTGCTCCTTCCCCAAACTTTGATGATTGGTATCAACTAAAGGTACCTAATAAACCCACTTAGCCCTTAGCTTACCTGATAACGAAGGGACTTTACAGAGTTTACTCCTATGTTGATTGTTTTGAGTGTACCTGCAAAGTGACAATTTAATGTTAAGTGCCAAAATGCCTTTCCTTAAAAGCAAAAGGCTTCAAGGAAGGGATTGACTGCAGAATTAGCATCCTGAGTTAATAACTCAGGTTTCCCTCAAAACAAGCACAGTAATGTCTGGATTTACCAGCAGGATTTGTAAACTATGAGATAAGACAGCCATTGGTTGCTTTGAATGAAGTGACTGCACAATAATAGTATTGTCCTAATTATAGAATAGCTCAATTCTGGTGGTTTACAGACCATCAGAAGAGTTTAATGGCTGTCTTTCCAGAGTCAGTCTTGGAATTTATTGAGTTTGATCCAATTCTTTACTCCAGGCGTAATTGTAAAAATACTGACTTGACACTGAAACCAAAAGTTGTTCAGAAAGTTTATTTTGGAAAAAAAAAATACAATAACTTAATTTGGAAAACATTTGTTATAAGTAGGCAACCTTTAAATCCAAGTAAAAGAACTAGTTTGGCTCCAGTGATATTTTAGCATGATTTGTTATACTAATTTAATATTTTTAAGCATGAGCCAAAAGAACAGTTCATTGTCAACACAAAACTCTAAAGTGAGTTTGATTTCTTATGAGTAAACTAATAGGACTGCTGTCAAAAAGAACAAAACATGCATTGCCTGATATTTGTCACTTTCTTACAATCCTTGGAATTCATAGTGCAAATTATAAGAGGATTCTTTGAGGAAAGCTGCACTTTTTACCTCCTCAGACACTTTAAAGATATATATTATAAACACTGATGTACAACATCACAATAATTTCTATTATAGAATGTCAAATTTCAGTTTGGAAATTTAGATTTTTAAAATGAGTTCTCTAATGAATAATTTAAACCAATTACAGTCTGTAAACTCTCAATAATATGCCAAGGAAGATACCAAAGCATAGGTTTGAGGATGGTTGCACGATGCCTTTCCTTATTTTTTTTATGCACCTTCCAGCTATTATCCTAATCTCCAGCCCACAAAGCTTAGTAGTTTTTGTGTCTCTGATTTAATTTTTCAACTACATGACTAACAAGAACTCCAAAGTATTCTACTCACAAAGTTTGTCCTTATATGAATAAACTTTACTGCTTTCTCTTCTTCCAGACTTTTTTTTTAGCAATAAGCACTCTAATTTCCTATAGCCTCACTTATGTGGCACGGATATGTAAAGTTATGTTTCTTGATGACTCCGCTACATGTTAGCAAATGGTGAGGGAGAAGGAAGACATTATGTAGCAGGATCATCTTTGAGTTGTATTTCTCCTATCTTACTTAAAGATGAGAAGCAAAGAATTGAGTTCTCTTCCAGAACCTCATAATTTTTTGGCTTCCCATCAGGTAGTATGGGCTCAAATTCAGGAGGCCTTACTGCTTTATCCATATATTTTAGTCCATTTTTCCAGCCCAAGTGCCCTTCCAAGTATCTGCATTACCTAGAATTTAATAGCTAGCATGGTCAAGGTTATCAATGCTGGGAGAAGCTATCTACCAATTCAGAGAGTCTTCAGATTGATGAAAGCAGTTTTAGTCCTTGTGGTAGGACCTAACTCGGTTCTGCAACTGGCTTTTAACTTTGTTAAAGCAGAATATGAGAAACTAAGCAAAAGGGACTAATATTTTCCTTTTTAAAAAACTCATCCAGGCATCAACTTTTTTCCAGTGTCATCACTGTTACTATTCCCACATTACCTCCATAATTCAGAAATTGACTTCTGCTGTCTTATTTTTTTAAAGTGACACTAAAGATAACCACAGATAACCACAATGCTGTAATTCTGAGTATTGGGGTAAATGATATAAGGTTGCCTGACAACTGCTAATATGCTCCCAGTAAGATAACCCTCCTCTCACCTAACCTAGGAACAGAGGATGAATTGAAAAAGTATAGGCCAGGTGCCATTTCAATGGGGCAGCTCACAAGACATGTACCAAATGCGTTCTGTTTAGAAGTTGGCTTTATTCTCCTGGGTCAGGCGCTACAAACTTCCATAGTAGAAATGGCAGCTGTGTTGAATATCAAATGGCTGGTTTTCTGTCTAGCCATTTGAAGCTTGTATGTGCGCAATATTGCAAGAAAGCATGGCTGCTGTGAGAAAAAGGACATGAGCCAGCTGTGATCGGGAACAGCCAGTTGACACATCAACTGGAATCAAGTAATTAAAGAACACCTTCAACAGCAGTCTTCTGTTTTGGGCTAGCTTGTAAGGGAAACTAAACCTATTTCTAACCCTTATTCATTCTAGGCTTATATTCCTGCCGTTTCATTTCTCACAGAAAGAGAATAATTTTTTTTTATTTATGTTGCTTTGAATTTTAAGAAACATAAAACAGACTTTTTATTTAGATACTGACATTAAAATAAGCTTATTACCTTTACTTATTTCTGTATTTATTTTTGTAAAAAAAAAAAACCTCATTCATGGTAGGATGAGATACAAGTTACATAACAGCACAGTCCTAAATTTGTGTTCTCAGGAGAAACTCCTGTTGTAGTAATTAAAACTGGCTGCAGTTCTTTATGTGCCAGAATAATAAATATGTTTACATTTGTGAATACAGTGTGTGAATAGGATCAGGCTCTATTTTCAGCAAAAGAGCTGAACAAGTCCAACCGAGGTTTAGCTTAAGGACATATATAGCATGCCCACTGATTCTGTTTTAATAAACCGATTTGGGCATTAATTTTGTCCTTTAATCATAGAAAAACAAGAAAGTAATAGTTGTAGAACACTTTACAAAAATAAAAATATTCATAATCATAAATTTACATTTCCACTTTTATGAAAAATTCTAAATGTACAGGACTTTAAAATCCACTTAAATTGTGATACAATCCCATAGCTTTTAAAGTGAAATTTAACAGCAAGTTGTTCATAATTCATAAATGAATATACAACTCAGTTCTAAAACTCTCAAGTAACTTAATAGAATTGCTGACTTTGGGAACGTACTAGAATAGATCTGCTTGAATTTCTTAAGATTCTTCTTACAAACATACATGGACCTGACAAATCTTCAGGTAACCCAATAGAAATGTTCAGTTACTGTCAAGACAATGTATTAAATAACAAGGTGTATTAGACTTACAGATTTAGATCTCTGGTTGGCTAGTATTACCTATATGAGCACCACTTCCTAGGAATGAAAAAGAAATATTTCCATTCTTATGCTTTAAGCAGCAGCAGCATTTTTTCCCAGAATATGAAAGTAGTCTAGAAATCTTTGGATGGATAACTTGAGTTGGATATCTGGTCATTCTGTTGCTTTAGATATAGATCACATCTGTTTTGTGCTGTTGGACCTAAGAAGCCATAAAGAAAGTATAAAAAAGAGGGATTGAAACATTTTAAAAGTACAGAATAAAAGATATGTGTCTTTAAAAAAAGGCAACTGTATAAAGAAGCAGTCCAAAATTGATATTAGAATAGGAATAAAATGGAATCTTTCACCACTTTCTACAGCCAAGAAGTGAAGAAACCACATTTCTAAATCACATTTGTATAATGGATCAAACATTCACATATGACACATATGATTGGTATTTGAAGAAGGCGTTGAAACAAATCTACCTCCCTCTCTCTCTTCCTTTCCCCTCCATGGAATTATGTGCTCTCCCCTCACTCAATAGCTCACAGAGATAGGAGATAACCCCATATATCAAATTAAAAATCTCACTGTGGGACTTAAAAATTCTGATCGCATGGCTATCATATTGACTCAGTATTTTCCTTTCCTTTTCCCTTTAATACTTATTTTGAAAGTACTGATTATTCTTGGATTTTTCTTTGGGAAAAGACATTAAATGAAAAAAAAGAACATCAGATGAGGTGAATGTGAAATTAGTGAGAGAAAGATGACAGACAGACAGATTGACTGACTGACTGACTGATAGGGAGTAGCTCTGTCAGTTGAACCCAGGAGCTGAATGGTATTTCCAAATTCAATGGCACATTGAAGATAAGCAACAAGGAATAACAGCACATTGTGTCCAGTCACAAGTATCCGAAAGCATCCGTGTGGTTTCTAGAGCAGAAGCTCAAATCAGTGGGCTAACTTAAATCTACAACCAACTGTTGTATAAATACTTCATCAAGATACAGACACATAATCCAAGGAAAAGATTGGTAGATAGGACATTGTACAATATGGAATACAGAAAATGAAATTCAAAGCCAGGTACCTTAATGTGCTTTCGGTGTCCTGTTTCCATGTTATTGATAACCAGGGGTTGGGTTGGAAAAGAGTTTTCTGTTGCTGCACTGGGCGTGGTATTCTCAATCACGTTTAGCAGGCACGATGGTGAAAAGGACTGTTGCAGATTATTAAATAGGTCTGCTTCAAGGGTTTTCATCCAAACAGGAACCTTAAAAAAAGCAGTATATTAGCCATTAATTGAGATTTTATGCTAACACAAAACATTCTGAAAACCAAAAAAAAACCCCAATTTAACTCCCTTGGTCTGAAAATTGCCCCTTTATGAAGGAATGAAGTGCTTTTGTGTGAAATGCACAAATTATTATTTCCAGAAGTCTTAATGATTTAAGTAGAATATGTGTTATGCAATGTCCATGATTAACATTAGGAATATTGTATTGGCTTGGATAATACATAAAATCAAGTCAGGACTCTACAAGAATCCTATGTGATTTTTTTTTCTTCTGGAGAGTCACCTTCAAAAAAACAATCAGGTTGAAGCATCTCTAAAACAGCTTCATAGTGATAAACTACAGAAACAACTGTACTATTAGTCATTTTCCCTGAAAGGGTAGTTACTTAAAGATTCAGGAGCAGGAGAAGAATGTAGAAGATTAATTTCACAAGTTGGGATGATTGGGTGGTGGAACTGCCACTCAAGACATGACAATGAAAGCTCCACCTCCAAATTTATGTATTTCAGAAGGAGGAGGAAATGGGAAGCAGGATTTGTGCAGTGTGGGTAAAAGGACAAGTATGGGAGAGAGACTCAGAATCCTAGACTAGGGGAACCTCCATTACTCAGGAAGACAGGGTTGGGTATATATCTGGTACTATTTGGAAATCATTTTAAAATATATATTAATAAAAGTCCATTTGTTGGGAAGAGCTGTTTAAATGTTATCCTGTGTCTTCCCCATATTTCACTTAGCCACATTACCTTAGACATATGAAAACAAAGGAGGAAAAGAATTTCTAAATCAGAAAATAATTTAGTGGTGACAACAAGAAAAACATCCTGTGGGGGTCTCCCAGAGCTTAGGGGATTTTGCTTAAGGTTAAGGACAAAGAAAATAAGAATGGAGCATATGCAAGCAGGAAGATATGCAACACAGGCTCTGCCTTGTTTTGATCCTTTATTGGTGTTCCTGCTAAAATACACAAGACTATCAAGTTCAGTGCCTGGTCTTTCTTGCTTCAAAGATCAGATACAGGGATTGAGAAAGCCTCCTTCAGCAGAACCTGAAAAGCTGCAATTGGCTAATACAGAATAAGACAGACAATTTCAAAACCCTTAATCTGGTAGAAAACAACTTCTACTGTACTCAGTTAAAGTACTTTAGGTCAAAGCAGTTTGGTTAGTTGGTAAAATCTTTCTTAATCTATATACGACTAAGACCAATTTGTTTTTAAGATGGTTTGCTTCCCTCCATATGAGAAAAGAGGTAGTCACTCAAAAAAGAAAGCTTTTTCTAACGCTACATACCATCAGCAGTTTTTACACTTTTAAAAATGTATTCAAGTATTGAAGCTTATTTGACTATATTTATTAATTTCATTCAATAAAGGTGAAACCCATTCCTATTGTCAGTTTTTATTGTCCATAGTCTTAATCACTGGCATCATTATGACAGTCCTAAATATTTCGGCCATAGATCAAGGCAATGGTGAAATCCTCTGCCGGTTGCCACCGGTTTGCTGCCCGCACATGTGTAGTGCATGCCAGATGCACGCATGACCAGTGCGTGCCAAACATGCTGCACATGTGCATGCAGTGTATAACACGCACGCTGCATGCATGCACGTGCGCAGTGTATCACAGATGCACGCTGCATGCGTATGTGCAGTGTGCACCAAATGCATGCTGCGTGCATGTGTGCGCAGTGCGCACCAAACATGCACTT